GACTAAGCCGCTTCTGGCGAACCAGAGCAGCGCACGGAAACGCCGTTTACCTTCCTGCCGGAGTGGTACCTATTTATCTACTTGCGCTTTGATGTGTTTTCGAACTGCTAGGTTGGCAGGAGCAGGGACCGAGCAACGGGAGCTCACCCCATCGCGGGGATTCGAACTGCCGACCTTCTGATCGGCAAGTCCTAGGCTCTGTGGTTTAACCCACAGCGCCACCCGCGTTCCATACTGCCTTACTACAACATTAATGAAACACTCTTTTTTAAAAAACAAACAAACAAACAAACAAACTTTTTTTTAAAATGCACTAATATCGATCCTTTCCCTTGAGTCCTCTGGCATCAATAGAGTGTTAAACTGCACATCACCCACTTTGTGCACATATAGTTGTTAGGGAAGTTATTTTATTTTCCAATAAACAGATCTGCAGATTAATCTGTGCATGTCCTGGAGGCGGAGAAAAAAGGTTCCGTTGAGCATGCTCACTTCAATAGGTAAGAGCAGTTTCCATGGAGACAGGGTTAGAGGTGAAGATATTAATGATAAATAAGGGGGAGATGGACACAGAAGATCCGGGTTTTAAAAATAGCCCGGACACAAACCACTTGGTTCTGGGCAGTGTGAGGACAAAGCGATGATTGAAAATCTGGATTTTTTAAGTGAGTATGGATGAGCTCTTGGTTTTGGTGAACTATTGCAAAAAAGGATATCATGTTCATAATCCACATGCTTTAGTTTAAATGCAATATTTCTTTATATAAAGGTATACAAAATTTTAAAAGGGAATCCCCCAGCAAGAATGGGGCAGATGATTTTTAAAACAAGTGATGATACTTATAAGGGTACGTGAAGTTTTCAGGAATGGCAAAGTGAGGTGGGAATTGACAACAGAGATATCAAAACACCCTGCAAGAAATCATGGAAACAAGTTAGAAATCGCTGCAAAACAAAGAAGTTGTTTTGAAGGAACCAATATTTGGACATTTTTGTTTATGAACAAAAGACTGGCTTCCATTTACCGTATATCAATTTTTTTAAAACACCAAACTAGCTCACTAATAAGGTGGAAGTGATTGAGATGACTGCCAAAAACACAAATGTGATTGAAGGAACTAACAGAAGCATGATGAACTGGAAAGAGATGGAGTGAAGATGCCCTCATTGGAAAAACTAATGGAAGGTGGCTGCAGACTGCTGGGCAGTACAGTGGTACCTCAGGTTAAGTACTTAATTCGTTTCAGAGGGCCGTACTTAACCTGAAACTGTTCTTAACCTGAAGCACCACTTTAGCTAATGGGGCCTCCTGCTGCCACCGCACCGCCGGAGCACGATTTCTGTTCTCATCCTGAAGCAAAATTCTTAACCCGAGGTAATATTTCTGGGTTAGCAGAGTCTGTAACCTGAAGCGTCTGTAACCCGAGGTATCACTGTATGGATTCATGGAGGGGAAAGTGTGAGACAGTCCTTTAAGAAGGATGCTGTATGCACATGGCTTCCCTTGTAGAATCCCAGGAACTTCCAATTTCTCTCGCACAGATTAACAATACCAAGCACCATTAACAAACGACAGTTCCCTCGATTCTTTGGAGGAAGCCATGTGCTTTAAACATGTGTTGAGTGTGCTTAAATGTATGTGTGTAATTGATCATAGATGCCAGACTATGGAGTGGAGAAGGAGTAAGCGGAAAGGTGCAATTTAGACAGATTTGTGCTATGTGGCGCACCATCAGAAAAAAAAAGGCATTTGAGAGAATGGTTTAAAAAGAAAAACTCCAGTTAACATTGTAATAGTTTGTGCTCAGCATAAAAATGTGGCAGTCTTTAGTAAAAATTTAAAGGGTGGTCCTGAAAGAACTTTTGAGTTGAGCACTCCTGAATTATATCCTTCCGATACTGACTTTTTCTTCTCTTGATACACTGCAAGGCCAAAATGTGATGAGTAAGCAGAAGCAGGCAGGAGCAAAACTGCCTGCTGAATATTGACTGTTATGAAGACAAATAGTTGAACACCCTGAAATATATGTGGAGCTTGTGATAAATGTAATTTGCACGTTATATTCATTTCTAGACTGTATTCAACCAGTCTACAAGGAAATAATTAATTTAAGAAAACCCCCAGATGGAGTATTAAAGAGATTTCTACTAAAATTATTTTCTAGACAAAAAGAGCTTAATTTATTTTGCAGTTGGTATGTAGGCAATGCTGCCAAAACATCATAAAACAACCAGCAAAATTGCTGTATAAATATGGAAATTTCTATTATTTTTATTCTCGTTATTTTACTGTTGGGTATTTAGCAGTATTTTACACGCTTTGGGGAACAGAAAAGAAGCCTATTTGTTTTTCAAAATCAATAAACAAAATGTCCTTGCTGTGAAACCAAAGAACTGAATGGTTTGCAGTCTTGCATTAAAAAGAAGAAGATGCATTTTGGGTCCTAAAGATGTTCTTTAGGGTAATACTTGTAAATTGAACAGGCTGAAAACAACCAATAGAAACTTCTCAGATAAAATATTACGCTGTTTTGTACAGAAACTTTTATCCAATAGTACTAGAAGATCACCTGTCATCTAGGTGCTAATAGTTAAGTGTAACATGGTATATATACTTCCAGCATCAAAAAAAGACCTAACACCACCGTCAGTCACCATGCTCAGTTATTACTGGTGTCCACTGCCATTCGCAACAGAGCTCCCATAGCATTAGATGGTTTATTTATACATAAATATTACCCGAGCCAATATACCATATTTTCCGGCGTATAAGATGACTGGGCGTATAAGACGACCCCCCCAACTTTTCCAGTTAAAATATAGAGTTTGGGATATACTTGCCGTATAAGACTATCCCTCTTCCAACGCACACCAAATAATAATAATAAAAAACCAGTCTCCAGTCCGGTTCGGAAATCCGCTCCACGTCCCAGTGGCCGGGGGCTTCTGGGGCCAATTTTCAAGCGTATTTCTGCTTCATCTAGAGAGCTTGGTGTCCTCTGATTTAATTTGCTGTCGTTTTATCCTTTGGTGGGGAGTTGCTGCAGGAACTGCTGCTGTAGCTGGCGTATAAGACAACCCTCGACTTTTGAGAAGATTTTCCTGGGTTAAAAAGTAGTCTTATACACCAGAAAATACAGTAACCCTACAGGGTCTTATTTCTCCTATAACAACAGCCTTGGATTCAAACAGAAATCAGTCATTGCTCTGCTTATCTTCCTTCCCAGCCTGCAGCTTTTGCATCTAGGGTCACACCCTAAAATTCTGGCTTTATCTGTTGAGGGAAGGGGTCCCTACGCATTTGCCATCTTGCAAAAGCCCTTGATCCTTGGTTCTCTTAATGGCCCATCACCCAGGATGCTAACCTGGCTTGAGCTTTTAACACTTGCTGGATCCAGGAGTTAGAAGTCTGGCACCCAACTTAACACCTTTATTACAATTGGTTACAGAACAGGAAGCAGAGTAGGAGCAGAGAATTATCCCAACAGAAGGGTGCAGAAAGTGGAGTCCCTAAAGGTCTGGTACTGGGACCTGTGGCTTTTAACTTGTTTATAAATCACCTAGAGTTAGGGGTGAGTAGTAGGGTGCCTGAATTGTTCAGGATGGTTAAATAAAAAAGGGATTGTCAGGCACTCCAAAAAGAGATCTTTAAACTGGGTGAATGAGCAGTAAAAGGCAAATGCAATTCAATGTAAGCAAGTGTAAAGTGATGTACACTGGGGCAAAAAATTCCTAATTTCACATGTATGCTAATGTGGTCTCAACTGATGGTGACTGTTTTGGAATGAAATACCGAGGTTGTAGCAAAAAAGTTGTATTCAGTGTTAGGGATAATTAGGAAAGGGAATGAAAACGAAACTGCCAATATCATAATACTATGACGCAATACTGTTCTCAGTTCTGTTCATTTCAAAAAAGGATTTTGTTGTTGTTTAGTCGTGTCCGACTCTTCATGACCCCATGGACCAGAGCAGGCCAGGCACTCCTGTCTTCCACTGCCTTCCGCAGTTTGGTCAAACTCATGCTGGTAGCTTCGAGAACACTGTCCAACCATCTCGTCCTCTGTCGTCCCCTTCTCCTTGTGCCCTCCATCTTTTCCAGGGAGTCTTCTCTTCTCATGAGGTGGCCAAAGTATTGGAGCCTCAGCTTCAGGATCTGTCCTTCCAGTGAGCACTCAGGGCTGATTTCCTTAAGAATGGATAGGTTTGATCTTCTAGCAATCCATGGGACTCTCAAGAGTCTCCTCCAGCACCATAATTCAAAAGCAACAATTCTTCGGTGATCACAGTATAGTAGATCTGGAAAAGGTTCAGAAAAGGGCTCCCAAAATGATCGAGGGATTGGAGCAACTCCCCAGTGAGGAAAGCTTAAAAAATTTGGAGCTTTTTAGGTAACCATGAACATGATAAAGAGTTGATAGAAAACTTTCCTCCCTCTCTCCAGAACTTCAGTGGGTCTACTCTTGAGTAGGAACTGGCTGACCACCAACCATAGGAAGGCTGGTTACTTGGGACACTTCCAAACAAACAGCGCAAACGGAGCCAGATGCTTCTGCGCTGCCGGGTAAAAGTCAGCGCAACCACTGCACGCCTCCCACGGAACCCACACTTCTCCACCGCTTCCCTCGTAACGCAGCACCTTGCCTACGTCCTCCCTGCGCGCTTGCTGATTGGCCACGACGCCCATCCCTCAAGGCGAGGAGAGAGAGGCGGCTCCCGGAGAAGAGACTCCACACAACCAGCTCGTGTGCCCTTTCCCTGCCCCCGCCGCGGATTCTCTCACGGCCCTGCCCGCCCCAGAAGCTCCTCCCCCTTTTGCGTCACTCACCTCCCCCGCCCGTCGGGCACCGCCCACTTTGCCTACGAATTCGAGGTTGGCAGGGGAGGGGAGGTTTTTTTTTTTGAGGGGGAGGGGTGGGGGTTGAAGAGAGAACAACAAAAAAAAAAGCCCTCCTCATGGCCGGCTGGCTCGTGGGCGCGTCTCCGCCCACTTCGGCGTAGCCCCGCCCCTCCTAGGCCGCCGGCCGGCGCAGCTAACTGCGGCCGTTGCCTGCGAGGCGGGGCGACGGGAGCGAGGCGGGAGGCCGCCTCCGCTTGCCTCCGCCGCCGCCACAGGGGAGACTTCCGCCGCTGGTCCCTCACCTCCCGGCAGTCTTTCGCCCTCACTCTCTCTCTCCCATCTTTCCCTCAGGAGAGGCGACGGCTCCGTGGCGCCTGTTGTCGACCCCGCGAAAGCGCCGTCCGCCCTCTTTTATTTCCCTGCGCCGGCCAGGAGCCGCGGAGACTCCTCCCCTTCCCTCTTTTCTCTCTCTCTCTCTGCCTTTCTCGCCTCCCTTCGCCCGCTCGCCGCCTCAGCAGCAGCGCCAGCAGCAGCGCCACCTTCCTTCCTTCCTCCTCCTTCTCTTCCCTCCCGGTTCCTGCTGCCCCCGCGAGGCACCTGCGCCCCTCCCCCTCCTCCTCAGCCGCCGCCACAGCGAGAGAGGAGGACAAGGCCGGAGTCGGCCGCGACCTCTCCCCGCGCGCGAGACCTCCCTCCTTCCCTCAAGGTACGGCCGCCTCACGAGAGCCAGGCGCGCGCGGGTGTGTGTGATGGGGCCGGGTTGGCGGTTGGCGGCGCGGGGTTCCTGTGGAGGTTTGTGGAGGGGGGGGTCCTCCTCCTTGAACGGTACACAATGGGAGGTGGAGAAGGTGGTGGTAGTAGAAATATGGCCGTGGCGGGATTGGGGCCCTGCCTCGCCTGTGGATTGGGAGGCATGTTGCTTTTGTGAGGAGAAGGGTGGAGTGTTGTTGTGTGTGTGTGTGTGTGTGTGTGTTTTTATGGGGGAGGGGAAGGGGGAATCTCGTACCTTGCGGGTGGCTGGGACTCCCGGAGCCTGTTTTGTGTTTCCACAAGGGAGGTTCGCTCCGAAACCCGCGTCCCAACTGGAGCTTATAAGGGTGGGGACAACGAGCGCTATCTATATACGTGGGTTTCATCGCCGTGAGTCAGTCTGTTGTTGTGCTGTGTATGGGAGTGTGGTGTGATTTCCATTCCCCCCCACCATCAGTGTGCGTATTTTGTGTGTGTGCATGTGGGGGTGGAATTGTGTGTATGTGCATAATACATGAGGGTAGCAGTGGTACACACACACACACAGAGGCTGGCGCATCTGCCCATCGCCTTGCGGAGGAGTGTTAATGGGGGTGGGAGGCAGGGGCGACGAGGGCGAAGGCTAGCGGGGTTGCCTGCTCCTCCAACCAGAAAGCAGAAGGGAATTAGCAACCTAATCTCTTCCCTAGGAGGGACCAGCCCTTAACAGACGGGATTTATTACCATGATGCCGCATGTGTGCGGTTTGTGTTGCTGTGTGGTGGTGGTTGTTGCCTTTCCCTTCCCCACCTCCCCAGTATACAAAGGTAGGACGGTCCATGTGGATGGCCGAGCCTTGTACTTGAATGCAATGCCCATTTCCTGTAAGGCCCATATTTATTCTTTCTCGGCTGCTGGGCATTTTCCGTAGCTGCAAATAATTGATTGCAGCCTTGTAAACAATACTTAAGAGGTCTCTTTTCTGTAGGCCTGCTCCTATGCCTCTGCTTGGAAGATTGGTTAATTAAGCTACTGTGCTGGCCAGTAAGAGCGAATGACAAACACTATAGGGTACTTAAGGTGAATATTTTATTTCTCCCTCAAAAGTTTATACGCTTTAAATGCAGCATGCGTTCAGCTGAAGGCCTGTCCAATTAAAAATTTCTACCTGTAATTTTTGCATGTCATATACCTCAGTGCATAAAAACATTTGTGTGAAATGTCAAGCTGGCTTAAAGACTACTTCTTTGTCTTTTGAAAAAGCTTCAGTCCTCAGTAATTTACTTTCTGTATGTGGGATCTCAAGAAATACCAGAAATCAAAATAATACATTCTTATCAAACAATTATACAGATAAATATCAATTATGGATTTTCCTTTTGCTTAGTGCTAGGGCCTCTTTGTGCATATCATTTTTTTGCTCTTACAAGTTATGGAGCTACCTTGCATATTTTCTGAAACTGATGCTTTAAAAAATTGAAGGTATTCTGGTGAAAGTGTAGCATGAAGTAATCTTGAAAAGTAATGGTTGAGTCAACTTCTGCAGAACAGATACTAGCACTAGAGTCTTGGAATAATGAAACTTTGGCCTCTAGTTCTCACATAAAACCATGGTTTATTAAACTATAGTGTGACATTATGTGTTAATCCTGCCCAACAGCTTAAGTATGGTTTGTTTGCTGCCAACAAATCACAGTCAGAATCTATGGTTGGCTTGTGAACTTTGGTGTGATTCAACTATGGCTGGGTGTTACATCCGAACCCATCACTCTCCTCTAACTTTGGCTTGTTTCATCACCTCACCTCAAATGCTCACCAAACTACAAAGGCATGAAGCAAGAGCAACTGGAAAACAATCTGAACTTTGTAGAAACTAGACAGTTGGACAGTACAGTCTTGGTGAAGCTTTTCCCAGAATTATATTTTCATACAAGAAGAGGCTTGGCCATGCAACAATGACATAAGAAACTAGTAGTATTTTAAGAAAACAACTTCTAGGGACTACCAGATCTCAGATGAATCCACCCATGGGAAAGATCCTGGTTGCTAGGGGAAAAGGAAGGGTAAACTATGGTGATTCTGAGGACTAGGAAATAAGACAGAAGCCTCTAAAGTGCACCCAATGGGAAGTGAAAACAGCACCTCTTTAGGACCCCCCATCAGCAATTCTTGTTGCCTTGGAGTCAAATAACTTGCTTATCATCACAGCTCTGACTTCTCATTGGCTAAAAACATTGTCAGGCAGGCTCACCTCACAGTAATTGCTTAGAAGAATACTTGCTGCATAACTTAATTTTTCTACAAAAGGGTTCAAGCAAAACTTTGCTGTTGCCTATCATTCAGTGTGTGTAAGTGAATGTCATAGTCAGGTTTTTTTGTCCAGCTCTCATCCATAGTGATTATTTATCTCTTTGTCTCACCCCCCAAGTTATGATTTAGCTATAGAATTCTGTGCACGATATTCACCTGGAGTAAGTACAATTGAACTCATTAGGACTTCTCAGTAGACATGCATAAGATTGTTAGCTTATTAACATTTCCAGAAACTACCTCTGCATACTGCTGACTTTGGTAGGCATGCTAATCTTATTTGTATGGAGAAATGAGTGAGAGCTTCAGATCTACAGAGATCTCATTCGACACATGCAGACATATACATCATAAAAACCCACTTGAATCATTGTATTGTATGCTATTGTAAATATCGACTCTGTAGAGTGCCAGAAATGCTAAAGTGCCAATGTATATTATTAAATACTTTATATTTTCTCTGCATGCATTTATTATCAACATATTGCTATGATGATGGTTCTGAATCACAATTTTCTATATGAGTTAACTTGTGATTTACTTATTTTTAGAAAAAGCATTATTTAGAATAGTAACAGAAAAGCTTAATATTTGCCCATTGTTTGATCGCTGCATAGGCAGATCAGTGGTGGACAGAGTGCTGGGATTAAATGTGGCAAATTAACTGAAATCACTTGACAACTTTGAGCCTAAACCAAATCAGAACGCTGTTGTAAGGCGAATTGCCACTGCGCTCCTTATGTAAAAGGACAATGTTTACATTCCATAAATGTACGGAATACACCACATACACCATGATACAGTTGAAAAAGTAGGCTACTTACCAGTAGAAAGGCATGCCTGGCCTAATGGAATATTCAATGATTGATAAGTGTTTCACCCAGAAGAGTGTGTCACACTGGCTTGCTTAAAGTGGCATGACGCTAAGTGATGGCAGAAGGCCCATGTCTTCCAAATATATGATCTGTTCCCTAACTACATTTAAAGTGTGTGTAATGTAATGTAATGCAATGCAGTGTTAGGGCATGTGTGCTGCTGAACCATTCTGCCACATACAACTCTTACCTCTACAGCTTGTAACATACCACTCTCAGGTTTAGAGTTTTCCTTCCCAGTGGAACTCCAGTGCTGGATAAATTCAAGGGGAAAGGTGCTGAAATAGGGAGAGGTGCAAGTGTGTGTGTGTGTGTGTGTGTGTGTGTTTTCAGTACCTCTGTCTGTAGGTGGTGTTAGACTAGTGGTTCCCAAACCTTTCCCCCATAGGCCATTTGAAACTTGCTGAGGGTCTTGGTGGACCACTTAATGATTTCTGCCTGTTGTAGCAATTGCAATGCACTGTGCTAGATGCTGTATGATTTCTGATTTTATTTTTATTGCTTTTATTAGTTATATACTGTATAGATAACCCACAACTTATATGCATTTAACTTGTGCAATTTCAACTTTACACGGTTGAAGACCAGCTGGTTGAAATCACACAAATTAAATGCACGGAAGGCGGAGGGCTTAAAATGCTCTTTTTTGTGCAGGGTTTTCCTGGACTGGAAAGATCTTTTAAGGTCTCATACTTGCTTACTGGGCTCTGAGAGGCTTCTGTGAGACCCTGTGAGATCTTGCAGAGCTTGGTGAGCAAGGCAGAGAGCTTAAAAGTGCTCTGTGATGCTTGGGGTGGGGTAAGACCTGCTAGGTGTGCTGGCTGTGGAAGGTAAGATGCTTGTGTGGGAGCAGTTCCAAGGAGTTGTTTTTGACTATATGTGATTTTGTCACCTAACCTCTGTGAAAGTTGTGAGTTACCTGTATTGTATTTCATAGAATCAAAATTCTAATACAATAAAAAACAATATAAGCAATTAAAGTACATTTAAAATCAATGTGAGTACAGTGGTACCTTGGTTTATGAACGTAATCCATTCCGGACGTCCGTTCTTAAACTGAGCCGCGCTTTCCCTAATGAGGTCTCCCGCCGCCGCCGCCCTTCCACCGTTCGGATTCCGTTCTTAGACCGAGGTAAAGTTCTCAAACTGGGACACTATTTCCGGTTTTGTGGAGTTTGTAAACCGAATATTTCTTAAACTGGACTGTTCTTAAACCAAGGTACCACTATATTAAATGTACTGTATGTACTAGTCTTCAAACACAAATCCACAGGCACACCACAGACCACCTGAATGAAGCTTAATAGTTCTGAATCACCATTTTCTATGAACCTGGATAGCAGTCATGACTAGAAGCAGCTGATAGGATTATCCCTCATGAATTCTATGACTACCTTTTACAGCAATTTACTAATGGCTAACACCATGTACTGTGGCAGTGAATTGCATAAATTATGCGCTGTGTGACGATAAACTTCATTTTGTCTGTTCTCATTCCCTGTTTAGTCAGTTTCATTGTATGGCCCCTGAGTCTAGTATTATGAGGGAGAAACATCCTTTTTATCCACTTTCTCCATACATGATTTTATGAATTTCTCTCATAACCATCCCATTTTCATTTCCCCCATGTAGCCTTATAGGGCTGTTGATTCAGCCCTCAGATACTTTTGGTTGGCTTTTACTATACTTTTTCTACTTATACAGTATCTTTTCTGAGAATGTTGTGACCCAAACTGTACATTATGTTCCAAGGACTGCATGGCCACACTATAACTTTGTATAAAGGGTTTTTGTTACTAGCAGTTTTGTTTTTAATCACTTCCTAATAGCTTACATAGAGTTTGCATTTTTCACAGTTGCCACACACACACACACACACACACACAGGTAACATCTGTCATAACCCAAAGAGCTCTTCTGTGATAAACCACTGCAAATTCAGACCCTATGTGTGAAGTTAGCATCTCTGCCATCTGTATCACTTTACTCTTTCTTTGAACTGCATTTTAACTTGTTTTGGTTCTCTTCGTTTCATATAGTTCAGAGAGATCCTTTCTGAGCTCTTAGTTAGCCAGATTGTGGGTGACACTACATTATTTGGAGAAACAAAAGCTAAATCACTACTAATTTTTAACTCCAGTTTGTTTATGAACATATTTAAAAGCACTATTCCTAATACAGGTCATTGATTCACTCCACTAATTGCATCCTTTCACTGTGAATACTGTACATTTATTACTACTCTTTGGTTTCTGTTCTTCAGCCAATTCCTAGTCCATACTGGTGAATTTAGTCAGGAGCCATTGGCGAGAAACCTGGTCAGAAGCTTTCTAAAAATTTAAGTATGCATTGTGTACTGGATCATACTTATCAACAAGCTTTTTGATGCTCTCCAAAGAACCATAACATATTAGAGAGACAGTGCTTAGTAGAAACCATGGTGATTGTTTTTCAGCAGGACTTGTTCGTTTATATGCTTGATCATTTTAAATGTTTTCCATCAGTTTATCTGAAACTGGTGTTAATCTGACTAGCCTGTAATTTCCTGGCGCTCTTTAAATATTATAGTTGTATTGACTCCCTTCTAGACCTATGAAATGGAAGCTGATTTTTAGTGACAGTGGGTGGAATTCACTTGTGCCCTTCGCTTTGCAGAAGAGCTTTTGATTCATTGGACACCTCTGGTAACAGGGTGGGGGTGAGTCAATTCTTGTCATTCTTCTTCCTCCTAGAGTCCCCTCCATCTCCTTGGGGCACCCTTTCATAACAACGTAGAATATGTTGCAGAAGGTTGCATGAGAAAGTGGGAATTGGCAAAATTTGCCTCCCCTTTTCCATTAGTAGGGGCCTCTGATAGTTCCAAGAGCCTTCCACTCATAGAAGGGCACAGGTGAAAATATGCATTTCCAAATGCAACTAGGCAAGTGGCTAAATGTACTATGTATTTGTTCATAATACTCAATTTTTGTGGAGTCATCGGCAAATAGAAGCAAGTCAAGGTATATAGGGAGTCCAAAGTATGACTGTTTAATAATCCATACTTCCTGTGGAAAATATATTTATTGTTCGTGTGTTTTTCAGTATCTGCCACATGGATTTGAGTAGTCACAGCATCAAAATTGCTTTGGATTGATTGCTTATGTTAAATTCATTCTTTTTTTCAGAATTCATCTATGAATAAAACAATGTGTGAATTGTGATGGGGGGAAATGTATCAATATTGGAACATTATATTGGGTAAGTGTGACTTATAAATTCTGTCTCTTTATAAGGAATTATGGTCAGGTGTAAAAATTAGTGATTGCTTTAGATCACATGTGTGCAGGCCTTAAGTGTGATCCACTGTGGGTGACCAAGCTGCCCCCCCAAACTGAATTTTGCTATTAAGGGGGAGTGTGCCAAACAGAAGACACTTGGGAATTTTACTTGTCTTCCTCCCCATCGCAATCTAGCTCCAGATACACCCACTGGCATGATGCCTCCAGCTGCCTTTAGGAGCAAAAAAGTTTACCTCCCTTTTTATAGATCTGTTATTATTTTCTTTGTATATTTTTACTTTCCTCTTTTTAAATTTCTTTTAAAATCTTATTCCATTTCTCCACCACATTTTCCCTTTTTCTTGTTAAATTTGGAAGATCTGAATCATGTCTAGCCCATCCTTTCTCAGACTTGGGTCTCCATGTTGTTGCACTACAGCTTCCATCATCCCTCACAACTGTTCCTGCAAGGGTGATCGGGGCTGTAGTCCAACATTATTTGGGGATCCAAGGTTGAGAAAGTCTGGTCTAGGGTCTGGAGAATATGTATTAGGAGTTTAGGGGAGGGGAATTAAAATGAGCAGCCAACAGATGGGCTGCTTTCATTGTAAAAATTGTATACAGAGAAACAGCCAAGCAAAGTGAATTGATTGGAAAGAAGAGACACATTATTGTGTAATAGTTTCAGTATGATAGTAAGAAAAATCACTAGCTTTTGGATCTATGAAATTTGATGTTGGTTCTCATAACTTTCAGGAAGTGGTGTGCTGGAAAGGTGGAACTTTAACAAGCAATGCTTTGAAATGATGAAAAGTTCAGAGACAAATTTACTATGGAAAAAGCTGCATGATACTGTAGTAATACTAGGAGAAATCCTAGGTGCCTTTAAAAAAATCTGGTGTTGCCTAGGAATTTGAAATCTAGTTCCAACTCTAAACTGTTCTTTTTTACTTATATTGGCAATGAAATTAAGGTAATGATAAGCATCTGAAAATAGCATCAGAGCATCATAGTACTTCTATGGTGGTGGTGTTTTTCTTCCTCTTTTTCATATTTATTCTTTTTAAACAAGTGTTGATGTCAGTTGTTGATGAGAAATAGGTTATTTAACATTTAAAACTTGGAAACTCATTTCCTTTCTTTTGGAATTATTGGTCTCTGCTCGTTACATTTTGATGACTCATTACTTCACATATCAGAATTCACTTTCCTTTCATCAAATGCCTGCTGCTTAGTTATTCAGCTTGTGGGTTTCATTCCAGTGGGATATGGCACTTTATAAACAGCACACTTTCCAGTGACAACAGGATAGAATTAGGGCTGTGAAAAAAATGTAAGTTGTGCTCTATGTTGTTAGGCATTAAGGATTTATCCAGCTTGCTGTCAAGATACTTCTCTAAATTCACCTCCCTTTCTCCAGAGGGATTTGGGACACTGAGTTTGGCCTGGAGATTGATTTAAAGAGTATTGTTCAGGGGCTGGAGGTTCCTCATTCCCATTCTGGAGGACTCATCTAGAAGATAGATGTTCTGTAATTAGTATTTTGTTTTGTCTTGATTTAAGTTGTTGGCACCTGCCTGTCTTGACAGTGGAGTGCGCCCAGTGGGTGAGGGAGTCAAATCATTGTGTTAGCAGCATCAAAGTGACCTTTCCAGTGCTCAAACCTGGGGAGTGTGTATGGAGGTCCTGGGCTGCCCAGCAGCCTTGCTGATGTGGTCCAAAGCAGAACAATCTGTTTGGCACCAGCTTGGTTGCAGAAGTTGCTGGAAGGAGTAGAAAGCACCAGCCAACCGCCTTAAGGACTCCATTCTGGATATGTGTAGGGTCTATCCTGCAAGGCAGCAGAGGTTTAGGATCAGTTTTCCTTCTCCTAGATGGGCTCCCTTCCCAGGTTGAAGAGCCCCATCTGCCCCTCACTTCCCTCTATAGCACATGCAGAAACTGCCTTCTTGACTGTTGGACCCACTATTGGTCTCCTCCTCTCGGCATTTCTTTGCATGTAGGGGAATTAGTGTTTTAAAGTTAGTGTTTTAAATATTGAACTTTTTGGCAGTTTTTGACCCAAAAAGTCACTTGATCCAAGAGTGTTTTTGTAATAATTTTCTTTCACACTTGGTACTGCAGAATTTATGTATGTCCAACAGATTTTGTAATGTGAACATAAAGAATCCTTCTAAAATTATATTTTACAACATCTCAGACACCTTTTAGGAAAGGGAAAAAAAAATTAGTCCACAATAGAAAGCTTTGCACAAAGCGGGATAGAGGAGGACATTGAAATAATATATTACAGTGGTACCTCTGGTTGCGGATGCGATCCGGTTCGGAGCTCCAGTCTGATCCTGAGGTTTCTGCAACTGGAGGGACCACTTCTGCGCATGTGCGTGGGGTAGAGCACTTCTCCACATGTGTGCGTGGTGAAACCCAGAAAAAAATACTTCCGGGTTTGCTTCATTTGCAACCTGAAGGATACGCAACTGAAGGTGTGCGTATCCAGAGACACCACTGTACTTTGTTGCATGCTATTGATGTTATTATTTAAAGCCTATTCTTGCTAGTTCTTGAAAATGTATTATTGCAACTTAAAGTGAAATAATAGTTCACTGTAGGCATTTTTATATAATGGCTACATCAGTCTGATGGCTCAATCATTAAACAATTTTAGCAGATTTTTGCAACTTAGTCTTGGGGAGCTTTAGCTGCTCTTGGGATGTGCTATGGTGTGTGGTATGTCTACTTATTTAATGTGTTATTTTGATGTGCACTAATGTTGGAGCTCAGCACATTTCTAGAGATCAGTTTGAATTTCGTGACTTGTGTGTTTTAGACTTTACAAAGATTTATTAATTGGTTGTTCGCACCCGTATATTTTTGTTTGTAGATACTGTGTTGTAACATGTAGGTGATACATTTAACAACATGCACACAACTCTGATATTTTGTGAGTTTATTGTTGAACCAATAAACAGTAAACTTCTAATCATATGCTGTATGTAATTTATACATTTACCTGTATACCTTTGTCCTTACATGCTTGATTAATAAACGTTGTTGTTGTTGTTGTTGTTACAGAAGCACTTTAAAAACCAGTAAATGGTGCTGATAGAAGATCTACTGAGATTATATTTTCCTGTAACAACTACGAAGGAAAAATACTTTGCGAATGGGATGAATACACAAGCAGTGACTGCCAGCAGCAGCTTGCTGACTCACAGTAACTAGCTGGAGCACTTAACTAGTGATGTGTCCATTTCTACTTTACCCCATTTGAGCTTGCCTGTCTTGAAAGGGGAAAGAAGTTCAAAGTGGAGTACCGTAAACTTGATATGGATAGCAAAAAGAAAGACAAGGACAAACTGGATGATAGAATGGCAAGGCCTAGTGGACGATCAAGTCACAATCCACGAGGCAGCAGCTCTTCAAACTCTGGAGTGTTAATGGTTGGACCTAACTTTAGAGTTGGAAAAAAAATTGGATGTGGCAATTTCGGAGAGCTACGATTAGGTAAGATTCTGCTCATTTAAATGTAGATGCACATGCCTTTGAAACATTCAAGTCTGTATTGTATGTTAACTTTGTTTCATTTCAAAATAATGAGGTCTGTTCATTTAGATTATAGTACAGAATTATGACTGCTGTGAGTTACTATAGATTTGTCAGCATAGTGTAAAGGCAGTACATTTCTGATACCTTGGGAATGTAATTTTTGGACCCTTGAATGAATCCATGCCATATGCTGTGGTAGAAATATTCATTTGAGTACATAGATTGCAGGTTGGCTCTTTGGGTACAATATCGAATATTGAACTTTGGATCATTGGATCTTCCGTCCTCGTTGGTCTTGATTTGTGTTGAATTCCAGGAGTGGAAGTGGCATTCTATCTTTTTTTACATGTTGGCCCTTATTTTCATTGCTATGCATTTTATTTAAAGAATGGGTAGGTTTGGACTTAACAGTATTGGATTAATACACTATTCATTCATTCATTCATTCATTCATTATTATTTTAAATAATAAGTTTTTTAAGCCTTGAGTCAGCATTGACGCAGTATGCTTCCCACTGCTTTCCTGGCCTGACCGTAGTATTTCTATTATGGTTTCTTTAAATCACTTTCCCCATTATGTTTGAAAAGGGGAACTGTAGCTCTGAGGTTTCCAATCTCTGGGCTGCGGACCCCTAGTGGGCCATGGAATTAATCACAAGTGCTCTGCAAAAGCCTGTGAAGACTGGGCATAAACTGAGCATCAGGCTCTCATCCAAAAATGGGGAGGAGAGAGAGGGTGGCTGTACTGGCACCTGCCCTGCTGCTGCAGCCATGGCAACTTTTAACACGTAGAGTCCTAGGTCCCTTGCACTGGTGGCTGTGCAGGGCTGGGTAAGGGACTGGGCATTGTTCACACCTCTCTATTTATTTACTCACTCCTTCCTTCTCTCCTCCCTTCTCATTCTGTCTCTCTTATTTATTCCCTCCCATTATCTTTCTACCCCTCCTTGCCACTATTGCAGCCACAGTGTCCCCCTCCCGCCAGCATTCTTCATTGAAACAGACTGCCCCTGGAGCCTTCCCAGCAGGCCCCTCTGGAGTGTGAGAGTGCATAGCACAAAAGCATCATAGGTGGTTCATGGACACCTATGTGAACCTTACTTTCAATAATCTTGCCCGAGTGTGCTGGCTTACCAGAACCACTTTTGTCTTTAAGACCAGTGACAAGACTGTCTTGAACTTGCTTGCCCTGGCCCAACTTTTGGAACGCAACACTGCAGGTGCCACCATGTGCTAGCCACCATCTTCCACTGGTGAAAATTCCTCCCATTTTGCAAGTGGTTTTGAGACACTCTCCCCTCCACGATTCAGGTAGGGTTGTGTCTCAGAATCTCCTGCTGAAGAGGGTATTTTAACCATTTTAGCAATGCCTGCTGAAAGAAGGAAAGAAACTCTTTTTTAATAGTTCCCTGGCACATGACATCACTGCCCCCTCGGTAGTGGTGCAACCTGTGTCCTTTTGGGAGGCCCTGCTCTTTGGGGCAGTCCACCATGTGGGCCTTTGTGCCTGCAAGGCTGACATCACACCCCTACACGTAGTGCATATGGCAGTGTTCCAGTGTTCTCCCACTTCCTGCTTTACCCTGTTGCTATGGAGAGGTACGGTTCAGTGTCCATAATGTGGCACTCTCCAAGATGGTGGACCTGTGGGGCAAGGGCAGAACAATTAGCATACAGGTCCTCGTACTTATAAGGTTGGGACCTAGATTACTTTCCTTTGGGACACCCTTCAATTCTAGTTAGTAAAGTGACATTATTACAGTTCCCTGTTTCTCACATAATGGAGAAACTGTTTTAAAGAAATTGCAGAAGCAGCACAGGAGAAGAAGGGGCATGTAATCCAGTGCCCTTAATTAACTTGTGGTTTATTATGTCAGTATTGTTATGTCTGGACTAGTCAAATAACATGGTGCTAAATATATGTTAATTGCTATATTTCTAAGTTACTAGCTCAAAATTTTAGAAGCAGAATAATCATCACATTTGTTGTTCGAGCTTTTATTATAAATATAAGCACATACAATCAACAAATACAGTCTATGCAAAAAAGAAGGGAAAAAAAGACCAACAAGTATTGTGTACTAATTTCATTTATATAAGCTGTGATCAGTTATCAAACTGGAGGTATGAGGAGACAATACTGATCATATTTGTACCCTTCTGTTTCTTCTCAATAACTTTGTGAAAGAAGTGATACTGAAACAGTCACACAGCCAAAGGCCACTGTGTGGCTTCCATGCCTCAGTATGGATTTTAAATTTAGGCACATCAAGTTTTGAGTGTATATACTTCACTATTGCTATGAAACATTTTATTGAAACAAATTTCATTTTAACGTCAGACTAGCAGGCTTATCCCACTTTTATTTTTTTTAGATAGCTGCCAAATTTGTTTCACATACATCTTTAAATTTATCTATGTCTTACGATTGGAAAAAGGAGTACTTTCTATAAAGTGGTCTTCTGTAATGAAATGAATAAGAGCAAGCCATACTATCTAAGCACATGTGCCAGTGCCATCTGCATTGCAATAGTGCCTAAAAGAACATCTATCTCGGAAGCTGTCCTCATTATATTCCCAAACTGATTCTCATTTCACCAAATATAAAATGCAGGCTTCCCAACAAGTCCACAAATTACTAGCATGCTACTTCTAAAAGGGGCTGACATCAGAGGCTTTATGCATAAGAAATAGGCCAAATAAAACTACAGGTTTATTTTTCATGCCAGGTGTAGAGAACAGTGGGGTTCCCTCTTCCACATCCAGCATAGAAGTGCATCCCATGGGATGAGACGAATAGCACATCCCTTGGTTTCCGTACTGAATTTGGAGAAGGGTACTTTTTATATAGGGACGCGGGTGGCGCTGTGGGTAAAAGCCTCAGTGCCTAGAGCTTGCCGATCGAAAGGTTGGCGGTTCGAATCCCCGCGGCAGGGTGCGCTCCCGTTGTTCGGTCCCAGTGCCTGCCAACCTAGCAGTTTGAAAGCACTCTCGGGTGCAAGTAGATAAATAGGGACCATTTACTAGCGGGAAGGTAAATGGCGTTTCCGTGCGCGGCTCTGGCTCGCCAGAGCAGCGATGTCACGCTGGTCACGTGACCGGAAGTGTCTCCGGACAGCGCTGGCCCCCGGCCTATAGAGTGAGATGGGCGCACAGCCCTAGAGTCTGTCAAGACTGGCCTGTACGGGCAGGGGTACCTTTACCTTACCTTACTTTTTATATTCCATGTCACATGCAAACACATGCAGGGGGCTACTAGTGAATGGGATAGAGCATTCCATCTTTCTGTCTGGAAGCCCCTTTGAACTCTACACTGGATGTAGAGGCAGCAAAGTACTCTCCTCTAGGTCTAGCATTGAAACAGAAGAGGCTGCTGGAGGAAGGAAAGGACAGAGAGCTTCATCTCTCCTCCTTTAGACCACAACTCATTCATTCACTTGCATGTTGCCTATAATATGTTTTGTTTTAGTAAATATTTTTCTTCCTCATGTAAGACAGCACAAACCTATGCATATTACTGAGAAGCAAATTCCACTGTGTTCAGTGGAACTTGCTTCCTAGTAAATGTGTTTAGATTTAGAAACTAAAAGCTTTAGTATATTTTTTTCTTCAGAGTATGATTAATGATAAAGCTAATGAAAGGGCTCTGCTCCAACTCCTCAAGGAGCTCCAGCTCCACATTTCTCATAACCTTTGAGGCTATGATTGAGCAGCTGCTCATGAAGCCAGGAAACAGCTGGCTCACCTATGCTACTTTCTACCATTTCTTAAAGAAGCCATGAGCCAATAAAATATTCTTTTCTGGTTCACAAAATTTCTTCCACTTTAACTGAAAAATACTTTGTTGACACACCAGTTAGCAAAAAAGAAAAACAGATTCATGACATCACATCAATAACATATGGATGTCCCAATCATATCAGTAGTCAGGGTTACATGATTTCTCCCACAGCCGTGCCAGTAGCCCTCAAGGATGAAAGACTCTTGATGGTGGAAGATATAAGGAAGGGGAAATGTCTGTGCGTGTTATAGAGCGAATGTGTGGTCCCTGGAGCCAAAAAATCAAGCAAAAGTCAAATCGCAAGTCACGGAGAAGGGAAACCTGAAAAGAGGAAGTGGCAGCTTTCCTGCATTCTGCCTCAGGGTCTTACTGCCCACCCTCCTCTGTTTCGTTGCTGTGATTGCTGAAACGGAACAAAGAGCAGGGAAAGCCCCTCCCCTCCAGGCAAGCAGAGTGCCGTTCTTTCTAATTCCTCTCTGTGCTCCGGTGCTGCTGGGGGAGAGGGAGAGAGAGTGGGGGAGGGAGAGGGGGAGGGAGAGGGAGAGAGAGGGGGGAGGGAGAGAGAGGAGGGAGGGAGGGAGAGAGAGAGAGAGAGAGAGATGGCTGGCTTGGGGGGGGGAACTTTTGCCTTTCTTTCCTCCCACCGGTTAAATCCCTCTCCAGCATTCTTAGCCAGCTGCTTCTCTGCCCTCTCATGTCCCTTCTTTGTTTTTCCTTCGCTCCCCACTTAAAATGTGGTTACAAAGCATAGATCCCACTGTTGCCTGGGGCTGCAATGGTGCAAAAACGTGGTTACAAAGCATGGATCCACATGGATCCTCAGGATCTTTGCATTGGGTCACCCCAAATTCACCATCAGATCACATAGCATGGTCCATGGCTTACAGCCTGCACCCAAAAAAATCACGCACCCCACTGTTGCCTGGGGGCTGCAATGGTGCCAAAAATGTGGTTACAAACGCCATGGATCCACAGGAATTATCAGGAATTTTTGCCAATTGGGTCCACCCCAAAATTCACCATCAGATCACATGTCTGTGGCCACAGCAAGAAAGCACAAATGATACATCCACTGTTCCATTCAGAATCGTTTTTTCCCTTGTTTTCCTCCTCTAAAAACGATGTGGCGTGTTATGGCAGGTCGTGTTATAGAGCGAAAAATACGGTAACTATGAGCAAAATATTCACCTGTTACTGACATAAGAATAAGTCCAAGCAGTAGAGGGCCATGCTTACTTTTTGGCAGCTACTATGGTGCAACAAAATTGTATTACCTGAACCCAATATGACTATCATTTGAGATTATGGTTTATGGGGCAGGTGTCTGGGAGGAAAAATGAGTAACTCTTTTTTGATGATGTCGGCATTCATCTAGCCTCTTGCTTCATGCTAAAGGCTTCATAGTGATTCTAACTTATTGTTATTTATAGATAAAATAGCAAAGTGTTGTTGGTAGTGAAAGGCTTGATTATTATTTTTGTTGTTGTTGTCTTGCCTTTCTATAAACCTCAAATAGCTTTAGGTTTTGACTATATGCTGAAACATCGATTAATGGAACATATAGTTAATAAACTAAATTTTGGAAGGGATGAACTTCAGTAGTTCTATCTAACATTAAAATATATGCTGAACTGGTCACTTATTTAAAATAATTGCCCATCAAAGTTAAGTGCTCCTGTAGATATGTCAATAAGTAGTGTCCCTGGGATTTTTGTACAGTGGTGCCTCGCAAGACGAAATCAATTCGTTCCGCGAGTTTTGTCGTCTTGCGATTTTTTTCGTCTTGCGAAGCACGGTGTCGGAAAAGGTTAGGAAAAGCTTCAAAAATCACCAAAGTCTTCAAAAACCTCAAAAAAGGCTACCACACCGCGTGCTATGAGTTGCTCCTCGAAGTCAAGTCGCTACTGTATTAACGGTGTTAAGAAAAAGGAAACAAACTTGCAAGACGTTTCCGTCTTGCAAAGCAAGCCCATAGGGAAAATCGTCTTGCGAAGCAGCGCAAAAAACAAAAAACCCTTTCGTCTTGCGAGTTTTCCGTCTTGCGAGGCATTCGTCTTGCAAGGTACCACTGTACTCATAGATTGCACAATCGGGATGGACTTGTGATTGTAAAGTTGTGGCGTCTACTCTGTGTAACTGGACTAATGTTTCCTGTTTGAATTGTTTTGTTGTCCTTGTACTGTACTGAAACAATACAAATTATTGGGATAAAAAAGTGCTCCTCATTGACTTAGAAATATCCACATTTGTTTCAGTTCTAGAAATACAAAAGTAAATCCAGCAAAAATACAATTTATGATCATTGACAGTCTTGTCCTTTCAAGTTAAGCTACTCATGGAACAGTTAAGTGGCATAAACATTATTGGGAAAAGCAGGCAAAGTCTGTCTTTCTGTTGGAATTTGTAACTTTATGTTAATAAGTAAAGTGCAATGTTCTGATATTTTTACTTTACATCCGTCAGTGGAAAAAAGTAACCCCTCTCCTGTTGTTTAGGTAGAACTCTGCAATCCTTTAGCTACCTTTTGTGATATCTCTATATAATTTTAATTAAAGGGCAGCTAACTTACTAGGGAAAACTGTGTTGATATGAGTTGTAATTAAACACTTTAATCAAGGCTTTACAGTTTAAGAGGGTTATAAGGTCATTAACTTGTTTAGGTTTGCTTATTGTTCGTACTGGAATAATTTTCAGAAATTGTTTATGGTTGACTAAACAATTAATAAACATTGCATGCTCAGAATAATCAGTTAAGCTTCTTTAAACTGTATTGTATTTCATTGGTTGCATAGTTCATCATTGTGTGTTAATAAAATGCAGATACGATTATACAGTTACTATGCCTTGGATCCTAAATTGCCCCTTCATTTATGTAAGGCGGGGGGAGGGCAACTTGCAACAGATTCCTGTGCAGCCCCGTAAACCATTCCCAATTCTCATTCAATTTCCAAAATAGATTTTATAGCAGCACTGGTGTCTGCAAGTGGGGAGTGAAAGATCCCCCGTTCTGTGATCTTCGTTTCATTCACTGAATGAAAGCTAGAGTCTAAGCCTGTGTTTAGTTAAGCATTGTGATTTTCTGTGTGGTGTGGTTTTCTGTGTGTGTAATTGTTAGTTCCCATCTGTACAAACTAAAAGAGGCTTTACTTCTTAAAGTAACAATTTTCAATGCTGAGAGATAAACAAATGGCTCAAGGAACAAGTGTGTGTCTGAAGCTGTCAGCTGCTGCACATTGGTTTTCTTTAACTAGCTTTATTGTATTTAATACCCAGTGCAGATAGATAGTATACTAATAAAATGTTGATTTTTCATGGTCAATAAGAGTTTGACAGACTTTACATATTGAAGCAAATGGGCAAGTTCCACCAACTTTTTATTTCAATGTAGATGTTTTGCCATCTATATCTATATATACATATTACAGAGGTATGAAATCTGACATTCTTGTTTCTTATCTTTCAAGGAAAAAATTTGTATACAAATGAATATGTGGCAATTAAGCTGGTAAGTTGACATTCATTAATAATTACAAGCTCTTAGATTTTCATTAACTAAATAATGCTTGCTTTCAACAAGTTGTATCCAAAATGAAAGAGTTACAGGCCTTATTCAGAGATCGCACAGTTGCCAGCTACTTCCACTTTTCCATGATACAGCAAGTCATTTATTATTCAGTATACCAATGGTTAAAATACTTTTCATCAAACCTTTTTGCTAATATGTATAGTTTAATATTTTCAAGCTACTTGTTACTACTCAGATGACTGGCTCAGCACTGGCTTTGCACTCCAGTGGGCCCAGCATTTTTTCCAAGCAATTTTTGGCAACATGGAACACCAGCACATGCTCATTCCCTCTGCCACAGCCCTACAGAAAATGGCAATCAATTTAACGTCCTGGTGATAAATACTAAAAAAAGAAACTTCTTGCTATTACAAAGCTCATACCTAAACAGATTATCTGGGTAGTTTCTCTCAGTGCTTTGAAAAAACATGTGCAACCTTTTAAAATGTGTAATGTTTTACAGTATTATGTTTTTAGATACGCTGGAAGCCACCCACAGTGGCTGGGGCAACCCAGTCAGATGGGCATGGTATAAATTAATTAATAATAATTGACAATATGGCCTATGCTTCTGCTGACCCTTTCTAGTCAGTCTTGTCATTGGGTCAAGAGTGCCAGCATTTCACTGAAGATCTGTGTTCTGCCCCTTGTAGTATTGTTCCATATTTTCTAAGCTTTTTGGTTGCCTATGATTTGCTCCTGTTAAATACTTTATTTAGTGTTACTGATCTTTATATTTCAGCAGTGTTACTCTACATGACATTGTATCTAATGCCTTGAGTTTTGGACATGCACATATTTGGGCACCCGCCCCCCCGCCCCATTGTTAATAACCAAAGGGAAAGCACAGACGCTTTGATTTGTCCCTTGGCATTAGCTGTGTGATAAAATCTGGGGAGTTTGGCTGTGAAAGGAAATCATCTCTGTCTCTCCCTCTTCCTCCACCCTTTTACAGAAGTGGTGTCTGGTGAAAAGGTAGACTAGAAGAGATTCAGAAAAGGGGAGGGGAGTGGTCCTCCCTGTTTCAGAGGATCAAGGAAGAGAAAATAAATACTGTGTACATTGACCTAACGTGAGATTTTTATGTTAGGGGGCACTCAAAACAGTTGCTTGCCTTGGAAGAGGGATCACTTGGGGAAATTACTATTGCAGTAGGTGCATGTTTGTGCCCATATGCTTTTCCTGGCTGCTAGTGGCTTGTGTTCCTTTGAAACTGTGATTTCTACGCCTGTAATTGCTAAATTAACAGCACCTCCAGACATTGCATATATTTTAATTCTGCCTTTGGCATCCAGTGTTTCTTCCTAATCCCAAAGAAACAGTTTTGAAATGGCAGTTCTATATGCAGTATGGAGTACAAATTAAAAGAGGTGTAAATATTGTATTATCAGTATTGCACTGTGATAAACGGATTTAAGAAAGTAAATATTGTCAAAGTCTCTTTTGGTTGAAAGAAAATTGGAAAGATATTTCTTCAGATAGCAGTCTTATTAACATTGTTGCGTTGAGAACTTGACTTTTAAAATCTAAAATCTTGGTCTCTTCAGGAGCCAATGAAGTCAAGAGCACCACAGCTGCACTTGGAATACAGATTCTACAAGCAGTTAGGATCTGGTGGTAAGTATAATTTAGCAAGTTGTAGCATAATGTGAAGTACTACAATAATGAGGATATAGATTGGTTAATAAAAGTCCCACAATTTGATATGTAAATATTTGTGCATTTTATCACTATTAATAGTCACAGGTACTTGCTACACAGTTCATTGAAGCTACATCTAGCATTAGCCTGATGACAACTTTCCGTTGAAATCGCTCAGATTTCTTTTACTCTGGCCAGCGTTCAGCATATGTGTTTACCCTATGGAAATACATTTTTCAGACGAAAAACATCTGCCAGTGAAAGTTAGGTACCTCGATCCTTGCAAGGCTGCTTTGGAGAAAGTGTTGCTGAGATTTAATTCCAATATAGTATATAACATTCAGTTTGACCTTATGTGAGTAGTATAAAATGTAGCTCAAAGACCAAAGTGCAATACTTTGGTGAGGCAGCTGTGTTCAGAAAATATGCTTCTGCTGTTCTCCATGAACAGAACTGGGTGCAGACCTTACTGGCTGTCTTCCATGTGTGTATTTTATGCCTATCATTATGGAAATCGGTCCTAGGACAAGGTGCTACACAGTAGCTTATAATAAATTTAGACAGTACTCCTCTTTGGATAATTTCTACCCTGCGTATCATAAGAAAATGCACCCCCCCATAGGAATGACAGGAACCAAGAAGCCAGAAATGCAGGGAATAGAAAGTGTTTGCCTTGTACATTTGTCGAGTCTGAAGTTCTTAAAAATCCACCTGGAATCCACTGAAATAAAGATGTCAAAACTAGTGTTCTGGGAGCAGTAGGAATTGGTTGTTCACTCATTTCTATTTAGTTATGCCTCACCAAATCTCTTGCCACTTCTTTCAGTACTGTTTAGTCCTCATTGTCCTTAATTATAGTGGTAACCCCTGAGGTAGTAGGTTTGAATAGATTGAAATTATATTGCAAATCCAATACGCTGCTATGATTTATGTAAGAAATAGTATGCCGAATAGCATTCTTACAGGTTTTGCATCAATTCCATGTTCTGCTTGCTGATGTTGCATGTTCTCCAAAACCCAAGATGACCAACATATATCACAGCGTGTTTGAAAATGAAGTTTCCAGTTTTTCTTTGTTGCCCAAATTGCAGTAGATGAATGCCTGGCTTGCAAATCATATTAAATTGGAGTTAAAATAAAATGTGGTTTAACAAGAGCAAGCAGAATGCTGGTATACAATCCTGAAATTGCAGGCACTTCTCTCTCCACTCCTGCTGTGCTGGATAAGAAACAAAGTCATAGCCTGACTTGTTGTTTTGGCAGAACCTGGTTTCATGGTTTATTCACTTGCTCTTTACTCATGGTTTGTTTTGCTGCTTTCTTGCCAGTGTGGCAGCAGCAGGAACTGGGGAAAGCAAAAATGCCTGTGATCTAGCAGCATGCACAAGCATACTCCTTGTTCACATAAAACCACATTTCATTTTAACTGATTAATGAGATATGAGAATCAGACTAATGCAACTTACGTTGCTAATATTTTTCATCTAGAACAAGAGCTTAGCGTACGTACACGACAAAACCATTTATGATTATATCTTCTATACTGCTGTTACAAAAGAAGATGTCTATTATAACTGGTTGCATTCATGTCAGACTTTTAGTTGACATTGTTAGGAGATTTGTTGGCCGCCTAAATTTGAACCACGGTAGTGAAGTATCAGAGGGCATTGTTGTTTGTTGTATTTTCTACTGTATTTTGATGATGTTTAGTTCATAGTTCTGTGAACAAGAAACTGGATGTTAACTTTGACAACAAAACAGCTTAATATGATGAAGTACTCTGTATATATTATTCAGTAGAAATGTTTTGCATGTTGCTCATTAGCAGCATCCTCTATCTGTATGTATCATATAGATAGATTTCAGACACTTTCCTAAACTACTTGGAGTTACTGAGGGGGTCTGTTCTACAAGTCTATCCCCCATACCATAACTGGGCTTTAAAATAAAGTCAGCTATTGGTGTCAATAAGAAGTTCTTTTCAGCCTAAAACCTGCTGGTGGGGGTGGCACAAAGAGTGGATGTTGTGGGCTGGAAGGGGGAGGATCCATGGGCTGCATCCAGCCCACTAGTTCCCCAACTTTGTTGTGTTAGGATGAAAGGAGCATAGTGATACTGGTGCATGATGGGGAGCTACATTTGAGGATCCCCCTAAAGCATCAAAAATATCCAATGTAGGGCATGTGACTGAAACTGTCTTCAGCTACTACAACTATAGAATTAGATTTGAAAGGGTTCTCGGAGGTTATCTAGTATAGTATCCTGTTCAATGCAAGGTCTGCAATGCAGCATACAACTACAGCATCCCAGGCAGTTGGCCATTTAGCCTCTGCTTAAATACCTCCAGTGAAGAAGCTTTTTTGTTTGTTTGATGTACCTGGTACCTGATCTTGTCAGGATCCGTTTCTTGGTGTCATTAGGTTTTGGCCAGCACCAGTAACAAGTGCAGTGTTGGATTCTCATGAGCAAATGTGACTTGGCTCCCAGCTGCCATCTTAATGCATGGGGAAGCTCACCTGATTTGGAAGCGATTTGCTGCCAACAGGGCCTGCCTTTCTGTGAAGTGTCTGCAGAAGACATTGCTGCTGCTTGCTGACTAATGGAGCGTTGTTAAGCCAGCACACACTTTCCACCTATTGCAAGAAAGATGAAAAAGCCCCATATGACAATAGGTTTAGGTTTGTTCTTGATTTTTCAGCCCCACTTGATGTAGAAGTTTGTATATGTTCTGTAGCTAGTTGGGTAAAGGTTGAATGGGAAAAACAGGCAACCTCTGGTATCTCTGCACAAGCGATTTCCATTGCTGAGCTTCGATATTTTCTCTCAACACTGACAGAGGGATCAGAGAGAAAGGAAGGGGAGGGGTAGCTGGAAACAGAGGCCACAAATAAAATATACCACTCCCACTGATTCCCGCCCCCCCCAGGCACTGCCTACTTTTGATTATGGCACTTGATTGTTTTCCATGGGTCACAGGCTCTTCACAGAAAACATGTTCTATGAAACATGCTTTGAATAAAATACACCACAAACCATTTGTAGCTTTTTCTTTGCCCAAGGAAAACTGGTACACTAGGTTAAGGAGCATTAGGAAGCACTATAGCTTTATATAGCTGCTGTTGGAAAATACAGTTTATTTGGGGTCTTACAGCATTTTTTATATAAACACAGGCATACAGCTTTTAGTCCAGATTTTGAACTACTATTGATAGTAATAACAGATAGATGATGATGATAGTAAGAGATGTACAATAGAATTATCTGCCTATATCCATATGGTGATAGCCAACTTAGACCAACTTAGATTCATTTATTTCAATGGGTCTTCTCTGAGCATTATCTAAAGCTGTAATTGCAACACCATTTACTTCCACGCAAGTGCCATTGAATTCAGTTGAACTTATTTCTGAGTAGACATGGTTAGCTGCATAACAGTGCAGGCCTATCGCCCATACACCATTGCATGCTCTTCTAGATAATGTTTCATAAAATTGCCACTGGGATTACTTTTCAGAGCCACTGGCTCAAACCAGATAAATGTTTAGGTCTGAACTACACATGTTCTGAAAGAGCAATGTATTATTAGATTCAGGTTAGCTTTATTGATCTCATGCACTGTGAAGTGCTTATTCTTGAGCTCCATAGATACAGTTTGCAGGATTTAGAAACCCGCAGAAACTTGGTTCTGTTGTAGCAAACAGAAGATGGACAATGTTCAGTATAGACATGGGCAAAATGCTAGAAATTCTAGCATCTTCTGGTAAAAATACTAAAATTCATTGGTTGTAACTTTTTATTTTATCTTGATAGCAGTGGTGCATGACAAACGTTAAGTAGACAATGTGCTAGACTTTGCAAGATACCATAAGATTGGGCTTCATAAAGTTCATTGTGTACCTTGTGTGTGTGGATGTTTATCTTGTAATTAAGTTATTGTGCACAATTACTGGCAACCTGTCATAGCAAATAATTAAATACCAACATTTAAGTCTGCACATTCCTAGGATTACAAAACCTAGTATTTCAGTATAATATTTCAAGTACAGCCCAAACTACAATGAAAAGGGAGAACTTAAGAATTATTTAGTGAATCAAATATTTCCTGAAACAAGAAACTTAATAGTGATAAGTAGCTTAAAGTCTGTGGAAATCTTTGTGTAAGATAGTCTTAATTATTCTCCAGTTGAAATGTGAGATGGTTCTTAGAACAAAAGTGTGTTGAAATGACTGTTTCATTTCATTTTCCCAGATGGAATACCTCAGGTTTACTATTTTGGCCCTTGTGGCAAGTATAATGCTATGGTGCTGGAACTACTGGGACCTAGTTTGGAAGATTTATTTGACTTGTGTGATAGGACTTTTTCTCTAAAAACTGTTCTTATGATAGCCATACAGTTGGTGAGTATACTTCTATTTTTTTTTTAAATAATGGTCCATTCAGTATTAGTTGGATATTCCTTGAGCAAATGCAGAAAGAATGTGTCACCTGGTTGCTTAAAACTTGTTAGGGTTGTTTTCCACTGTATTTATCTGTGAACGGTACTGTTAGATGTCATGAAGACAAAGGGTTGGCTATGGAGGTCCTATGAGCAGAGTTCTAGTCATTGAAAGGAGGGAAGATGATTCACACAGATTCCACTAAAAACCTGCTTCAAAGTGTTGGAAGAACCTCTGAAATATTCTGGAAGATAAATGGAGGGGGGAGGGGGAATCAGCAAATATTGCCTCCCATCCCTCTTTTACTATAGATAACCTCTGCTTTTTACAAACTGCCCTTTTGTTTGTAGAGGGGCTACTCTGGATCCAAGCCACATCTTTATACTTAACTAAACACATTAATAAACAAACCATTACATTTAGACCTAGCATGAAATATAATTGAGGATGCTGTATGCTCACTGATGAAAAACATTTGAACGTAGAAAATCTGAACTTTGTGAATTGTATTGCTCTGTCACTGTTATTCATGGAAAGGACCAAACAGCAATGCAACTCCCCCCCCCCCCCCGCAAACTATTCTTCCACAGGAGTCCTCCTTGGACCTTATCCTGTCTGGGTTTTTGAGATTTCACTTGGGACTGTCTTCATATTTCAGGCTCATTTTAATTGTTGTACTACCTAGAAACTGATTTTCAGCATGCTGCGTTCAGTACCAGTTTCCTGCATTATGTAATTCAGGTGCAGATTTTCATAATATTTTGAGGTCTGTTCATTCAGCACCCATTTAATTTACAAGGCAGTGCTGGGGTTCTATTAAGCAGGTTTGAATTCTTATCACAAATCCATTTTCTTCACAATAAATCTTGCAGCCTTTTTCTCAAAATCAAGTTTCCTTTTTCTGAGAATTGTTACACACTCATCTTGGCCATTTTTTCCCTTAGGTGCATTAAAGTTTAAAAGTGGTTGCCTAATAATCTTAATGGACAGAATGCAAGCACTACTTAGTTTAACAAAGAGTAATTGAAACACACACAGTGACTCAGCACTAAAAAGCAAACGTGTGTACTCCCGAAGAAGTGAACATTGCTGCTTTGCTTCTCAGATGTTTTGCTGCTGTGTTGTAGTTTGGCTTAACGTGTTATCAGAACATTGACTCATGGTTCAGGTCTCCCTAGGCAAACCATCAATCATAGATCATGGGGAAAAGTTTTGTTACAGTTTGTAGCTTGTCTGGAGACAGCCTGGATGTAGATGATGTATTAAACCAAACCATGGCTTAAGTTCAGCGTAGAGCAGCAGCAAAATGACTGGGAAGCAGCAAAGAGGCTTGGGAGTCCATGTGTTTTGTTGTTTGTGCTAGGCCACTTAGCTGCTCACTAGTCATAAAAGAGTGCCTGCTGTTGCAGACTCAACCAAAGCTAGACGTTTCAATGAAAGAAGAGCTTCCATTTTTATTTTGACACATGAAGAAACATGTTCTTTCAAGACAGAAAAGATATAGCATTTTTTTGTTTTTATTTGTTCTGCTATAGTTGTGGTAAAAAAACAAACTTTCTTTCATTCTGTTTAATAGATTTCTCGAATGGAATATGTTCATTCAAAGAACTTAATATACAGAGATGTAAAACCTGAAAACTTCTTAATAGGACGACCAGGAAACAAAACTCAACAAATTATTCATATTATAGATTTTGGTTTGGCAAAAGAATATATAGATCCAGAGACAAAGAAGCACATACCATACCGAGAACACAAAAGCCTTACAGGAACTGCTAGATACATGAGTATAAATACACATTTAGGAAAAGGTATGTATTTATTTTTAGAACACAAACTTAACCAATTCACTAGAATTCTGACCATAATATTAATCACTTTTGCAAACGACTTGTTTTTGTAGTTCAGATAGGCTTTATTTGTTTTATCGAAGGGTACTTGAGTGTATGTTGAGCATAAAAATACTTGCTTTTGTGTTTAAGTAGTGGACTTGAGCAGCTTTCGTATGAGGAAATGTTACAATGTATGGGGCTTTTCGTTTTAAATAAAATACAAGTAAGGTGGACTTAACCATCCAGGGGTCCCTTACGTTTTTACCTTTACCTATAGAAATGTGTAAAATTGAGTGGAGAAGTAGAGATATTATTTTTCTTTCTTGCATCATATTAGAAACCAGAGTCAGCCAATGAATTGAATGGTGGAAGATTCAGAAGAGGCAAAAAAAGTAATTCTTCACACAGTGCATATTGTTAAACTATGGAATTCACTGACATAAGACGCAGTGATAGCCACCTATTTGGATGGCTTTTAAAGGGGATTGATGGAGCACATAGATGGGCTATAGATGGCTGCTAGTCCAGTATGTCTCTAAATACTAGTTGCTGGGGTGCATAGTGAGTGCATTGTGCTCGTTTCTTGCTTGTGGGCTCTCCATTGGCTTCTGGTTGGCCACTGTGAGAACAGATACTGTACTACATGGGCCTTTGGACCATACCATCTGTACCTTTTCATTTTGAGTTATCTCTTTTTTTCTTTCCTATTCCAACCATGATGGCTGTGATTCATCATACAACTCAATGCTAATAGCAACTGTTTTGTAACTTTGTGTCCAAGATAGCGCACGCTACAAAATTCAAAACAGATACGGTAAATATAACAATAGAAATGAAACAATCAAAATAAACAAACCACTATCAGTGCTACATAAAAAGAAGCAGCAGTAAAGGTCCAGTTAAGTAAAAGCCCTGGATAATTAGTGTGTCCAAGAATATAAGCTTGTGTGCCTCATAGAGCTCTGTGGAATGAGTTCCAAAAATGAAGGGCTACCACAGAAAAGTGTCTTATCCCCACTTGTCAATTGCCTAAACTGAGGGCAGGGACACCTATAGCACGACCTTGGAAGATTTCAAGTGAATAGGCAGCCTCTCATATGGTTAAATGTGTACCACTGTTTTAAAGGTTGTGCTTTGGAGGATGTGGCTTGCTTTTTATTCTTTTGTAGAAAGAGAATAAACCTCCTGGATCCAAACAACTCAAAAGTGTTTTAAGAACTGCAGATGGGGCTATCTCTTTGACTTGATCTAGAATTTGTGTAAGACTGGAATCATGGCAGTTTCACAAGTGCTTTCAGAAGCCACTGTATGAAGTTCTCTGAGAACAGTATGTTGTGGGCACCTTTCATAATACAGCCATAAAACGGGGGGGAACTTAAAAGCGGTGTTCATAGCTATTATTTTCCTCCCACTCCCTGGTCCTGAAAGGGTGCTGTGAGCAGTTTTGCATGCAGCCTTTGGAAACTCTCCACACTTCCCCAAAAGAAAAAAAGGTGGCGGGTGGAGGGGAAGAGAAACACATGTTTCTGAAATCAATAGGCAGAGTTCATTTTTTGCATTCAGGAATATGGAGAGCTGGAATAGTGTGTCTTGGCTTTCTAGAACACAACTCTTGCAGGTTTAAGCCTCCAATATCTTGTTTGTTGCTATAACATGGCAACAACACAGTCCATTTTCAAAGCAGCTCTTTTTTACTTAAATATATAATTTAATTATAGCAGTAGCAGTTAAATTTAGACTCCATATTTCCACACTTTTAAAGGCTTGATAAGTAAAGAATAATTTGTTTTCTTACCAAGATTTTTTTTAACCTAAAATTATACTTGAGAAAAAGCTGTAGAACATAGCAAATATATTTTTGTAGCTGTGCATCTTGTATCATTCCTTTCTTATGAATAAGTTCAGAACTTGGAGTCTTAACATTTTAACTTTACTTTTCCAGAGCAAAGTAGAAGAGATGATTTGGAAGCTTTAGGTCATATGTTCATGTATTTTTTAAGAGGCAGTCTTCCATGGCAAGGCTTAAAGGTAGTGTGCCAATTATTTGAATTTTGTTTGCTCAAGTATTGTCATAGTTTCATAAAATATTTCTGAAGCAACTCAATATCTTTTCAAATTTAGGCAGATACACTGAAAGAACGGTATCAGAAAATTGGAGACACAAAGCGAGCAACCCCCATAGAAGTACTGTGTGAGAACTTTCCAGGTAATCATTTCTTCTGTAAAAGAACTGTCAGTATAGAGTTGACATTGCCAAATTTAAGTTGCTCACTAAATTAGGTTGCCACACCATGGTCATATTTGTGATGTCAGTCGTGCATATTTTTTCTTGACTCTTACCTTCACTATTTTGGTTTAATTAATGTTTAGCATATTGGTGAGGAAACAGGTTTCATTGTTTCTTGTGCTCCCCCACATTTGTCATTTGCCTGCTATGTAAGAGGAACTGTTGTTTCGAATAGATTTTATGAAGCTGACCATGCAATTGGTGGCTGGTAGACATGTAGTGAATTCATGAGGGAGATCTCAGAAATCAACTATGCAGCTGCCAAAAGGGCTTTCATCGCTAAGAGTCCAATATCCCATATTGAGAACGATCTCACAATTGGCAAAATATTTGGCTATGAAACATCTTACAAAACTTGTGGTGTCTCCAAAGCTGATAACCTTAATAAACATCTGATAGGGTATTTTGGGAATGTACCTCCCTGAAAAGTTAATACCAGCCCTTTGAACTGTGCCTGGAAACAGACTGAAAGGTAGTGAAAATGACAAACCACTGGAACAATATGATCACATATTCCTGTCTTGGTCAGCAGTCTTGTTGACTTATTTGGGACAAGCTGAGGTTTCTGGGCCATTTTCAAAGGCAACTCCCACATATAGTGCATTGTGTTTGGTTCAGTCAATTGCCAAAACTTAGACCCCTTTTGTGCACTAAATTCCAGTTTGTAAAAATACTTTTCTGTATTTGAAAACTAAATTAAGGATTAGAGTAGCAGGTCTCTGTTTTTACTGATATTTAAAATTATTTGTTTATTCATGTAGAGGAAATGGCTACATATCTTCGTTACGTGAGAAGACTAGATTTTTTTGAAAAACCAGACTATGACTACTTAAGAAAGCTCTTTACAGACTTGTTTGATCGGAAGGGCTATATGTTTGATTATGAATATGACTGGATTGGTAAACAGCTGGTAAGTGTACAGTTTAACAAGTACTCTTCTAATGTCCCTGAAACTCATGACAGAATATCTGCTAGCATATAAGCTACTTTTCTGCAATATAGCAAATACATAGAAGAGACTCCATTGTATCCTCTATTACCTTAATTTTTTTCCTGAAGCCATAAGCAGATATTTCATGGGACCTTTCTCTCTTTGAAAAGAATACTTGGGTTATATTTGTCTTGCATTTTGAGTGTGTAGAGGACACTATTTACTCTGTAAGCAGGACTTTAGCAGTAGGAACTGCAAAAGCTATATCCTGTTTCACATTCCTTTGTATATATCTACCGCTCTGTTATGTTTGGTTGGTCTAATCAAAAGAGCCTAATGAGGTCTTGTTTACAGAAACTAGCTCTGAAATCCATGTTCTTTAAGTTTGACAGTATGGTAGCCTATAAAACACGTATGTTTAATCATATCAGGGCAACTTGTTTGTTCTCATAAGCCACAGTGTTCACAATACGTTAAATCCACAAAATTCAGATACTGTAGGGTTAAATGGCAAATGTAACTTGTTAGTTGTTAGATGCCTCTTGCTACACTTGCTACATTTTCTGATGTAGGACATTAACTGAAGCAACTATCAAGATAGCCTGCATTTAGCCTTCCAGTAAAATGATCTGTTTTACTTCCTGGTAATAAGTTTAAACTGTGTAATGGAAGTGTACTTCTGACGTTTTGAAAACCTGCTCTAGTTGAACTGCCCCCCCTTCTCCCGCTCCTTGCCATCTTCCATTAATTGCCCTGTGGGAATGATTCCAGAGAAGAGAAAAAGACATCAGGAGCTTTTTCTGTTCCAGCTGGACTGTCCGTTTCCCCCCACTTCTCAGCTGCCCCATGGGGTAGAACCTTGAGATATGCTGAGGTTGCTTGTTGTGCCCCCCTCTTCTCCAAGTGTGCATTTCTGCTGCTTGTGTAAGTTGGCTTGGAAGGATATGTGTCCTGAAAGGGTAAAAAAGGATACTTTAACCTCACGTTAGTCTTGCAGGTGGGTCCACAAAGTAACTAGCCTTCTTACTCACATATATTAATGCCATTAGCTTACAAAACCTCTGTGTGATAGTAATTCTTTCATACCGAAGGCTTCAAGGCTTGTGACTGACTTAATATCATGAAACTTAAGATGCCCTTTCACTCAGTTTTCCCAAATATATGCTGGTAACTTTGAAACCTACTATGTTATATTGCCAGTATTCAACATAATGTATTGTTTGTAGCCTACGCCAGTGGGTTCAATCCATTCGGATCCTGCAATATCTTCCAACAGAGAAGCACATCCTCACAGAGATAAGATGCAACAGTCGAAAAATCAGGTATGCTGTCTGTCAACGTGTGCCATTTGTACTGTCATAGTTTTGCTTTAGTTCATGCTTCCAGTAAAACAGATGTTGTTTTCTTAGTACAGTATTTATTCACAGAAGGCTTTTGATTCTTTAAATAAATATACTCTCTGTATGTAATTCTGTATGTACTGTTCAGTGCTTTATTATGTAGTTAGGTTTATGTGTCAGCATGAGGGAGGGAGAGAAAAAGGAAGTGTGAGAGAGACTTCCTGGATCAGTGGAGGCATATTGAAGAGCTGCTTCAAAGATAGTGCATATCGGATCATTATCCCTCCACACCAGCCTCTTTTTCAGACTGAATTTTCTTACCTGCTTTCACCATGGTTAATCATTACATCAGCGCTGACTTAAACTATTGCTATGGTTAACAAGGCTTCCTATTAAAATAGGATTTGAAGCCAGCATCAAACTCAGTTTTAAATTTTTATTTAGAGGAAACTCTGGTTAGTCCTCTGTGGTTACTGTTATTTACCCGTGTAATGATAACCATGTTTTAAATCCAGGGGCGAGGAGAATTTTGCCTAGAGGGCCTGGAAGGAGGGCACACATTGCCTTTCACCTGTCCCTGATCCATTTACTGTTGTTGAAGGTTGCTTTCTTGCCAGTCTCCAGAATGTAGCTTCTTGTTAAGAATGATATGAAGTCTTCAGACACAGCTTGAACTTCAGATGTGAGCAAAGGTTTTGAAATACCTAGATTTCCCTGTGCTCTCATTGCTAGCTATCTTTTCTTAGCAAGAGCTTTATAGAAGTCAAACATAGAGATGGGGAATGGTTCTAGCTCAGGTATTATACTTGTTGCTAAAAATTCTAATTGAGTTGCGGCCGTGACCAAAAGCATCCAAGTGTTGAGGTGTATAGTATAATTTTATAGCTGTTCCTGAAACAAGTGGTTCAGTGTTTGCCCATAGTTCATGGAGTTCTCTAGAGTTTGTGGGTGGGATTTAGCTAACAAACCCTGCTAGGGGAAGCCCATGCCAGCTAACTCAATGGGGCATCCACCTCCCCCTAAAGAAATCTTGGAACACTGCATGTGGGGGAGAGAGGGCAGATTGTTCCGTCAGGCAATCAGAAGTGCTTGCTCTGGTGGAGTAATCTGCTTAGCCTTACGCTGAATTTGTCCCCACATATTTTGTATTTCTTGAAGTTGCTCTGTCATTTTTATTTGAATTATATTATTATCTTTACAACAAGGGCTGATTAAGAATACATATGCTATCAAATATTAACTGTAGCTCAAAGTTGCCAGTATTTTTTGAACCAAAGCTAGTGGTAGCAGCCTGGCCTGGTTCCATCTATTCTATTGTTTCCTTCAGCAGGACAGATAGCTTTTTTCCAAAAGTAAACTGAGAGTAACTTGTGCCTATAAAAATGAGTAGGTTTGTGCAGCCTGGCTCAAGACTCAGTGTACTTAATAGACTTGACACACAAGTAAAAATGTGGATCTGTCAAAATAATTGCATTTTATTCTTACATTTTGTATAGAAAAATTAAATAGTACATTAGTGTAAACACCACATTAAGTTTCTCATGTTAACTTCTGCTTTAAACTTTGGATTAAACAGTTTTGGCAGGTTTAAATGTTAGCTTTCAAATATTCAATGTATCTATGACAATCTGTATTGTATTGAGTGTGCATGCTATGGAAGTACTGTAGATCTCAGTTTTTAAGAATGCCTCATTCAAGTGAGCTTTTTAGAAAGCAAAGTTTATCCTGCCCCAAATGTCCCCAAGTATTCCTATTCTGCATGGGGTTTCATGTTTGAAGTTTTTGTTGAACATTTTCAATTACTTACTTTTTGTATGTATTAAAAAACTTTAAACATGTGTCTTTCTGTATTCAAATACATATGTATGCATAATGCTACATGTGCATAGATGCCCTTGTGTTCCTGTGATTTTTTAATTTTAATGTAGAATACAGCTGATTAGCCGCATGATGTGTTTAATATGTTCTGGGTTCTTATTCCTCCTCTTCCATGCATGCTTAATGCATTGTATAACTGGCAGTCGACAGACCACAGGGCAGCTTGGGACCCCCATCAGGCCAATCCCCATCACTTGAGAGCTCACCTAGCAGCTGACAGACATGGTGGCTCGGTACAGGTATTTTCTGTTATTTGCATGAATATTTCCACATCTTTATATCCTTGGACACACACGCCATGTGTGTAGTTTTCTGCTGAAAATTCTACTTCATAACCAAGTTTGTAACCACGCTCCTTTTGTGATAATATCCCTACTAAAAAAGATCACACAAAATTTGACTTCGTTTCTACAAATGCTTGTAGAAAAATACTCATCTGGAAATTTTTTTTGGGGGGGGGAAGTGTTTGGTATAGTTGACTGAGTTGACAGATGGAGTGACACTCAGTGGTAGTGATAGAAATGACATTGGGGCCAAATGAATTTGGACTGTAGAATATCTGCAGAATATTGTGCTACTGGAATGTACGGAAAGAAGCTTTATGCCACCAAGAATAAGTTTTGGTATAGTAGGCTATTATATATCTAATATGCTTGTGCAGATGTCCTTCCACCCCAAACAGACTAGTGCTGTTGGTTCTTTTAGTGGTGATTCTTGTTAAACAGCCAGGAAATGGGATGCCTGGCTGCTGCATTTTCCATTTCCTCATGTAACTGATATGTTAGTGCCACAAGAACAGATGAACTCTTAAGTGGTACATGGGTGCTGCAGGAGTGACCTTTGTTAACGCAGGGTCTGGATGTAAAGTATTTCAGTGCTGAGGTTTGAACACATGCATCTCCTTCACATCTTCCACTTAGAAGGCTCTCACTGAATTGGAGTGCATGTTCTAAAGTAGCTTGTGAAACTATACTCTGCTTGCTTTTTCTCATTGCAAGTGTATCTATTGCTCCATCATAACAGAGGGGATTGAATTCGTATTAGTGGTATTGATGACAAAATTGAGCAATCTTCTCACAGTAAATACAGAATGAGTATGCATAAAAGCTAATCATTGAAATCCGCTGACCCTTTTCAATGGGCTTCCAATTCCTCATGAAAATTGAGTGGCAGATGGGAAGCTCTCTAAGATTCTGCTCTCCCTTTCCCCCATCTAAAATAAGGACCTGAGTAGCTCTTGCTTCTTTAATTGCAATCATATTGGTCCACTGGTTAATCTTGCTGTTTCCATAATACTACCAACACTTGTACTTCGTTTCACTAATGCTTGTACAAGGATAATTGAGGGTCTTCCTTTTTATTATTGAATGACACTGTGATAATTACAAATCACTGATACAGAAAGAAGGTACTTTCCTGACATATTTTTGTCCAGCCATAGTCACAATTAGCTAAAGCATGCTGTTGTCTCAAGTACTAGACAACAATAGAAGAGAAATGCTTTTCCCATACTGAGCGATTTTAATGGCTGTTGAGACAGAACTGGGATTCAATAGTTCACAGTGAGCAGGCAGAGACTATTTAAGAAAATTTATTTGCCATTTAATCATAAAAATCTCCAAGCAGTTTGCATAAAATATAAAATATGCATTGAAATGAATGATAAAAGCAGATGTTAAAAATTAGAGAGCCTGATTTTTCCCCCAGTATAAAATGAGCAGTTTTTAAAATACACATTATAAAACAAAACAACAGATTAAAATATTTGTTACATTTACATGTTTGGTAGACTTAGTTAAACAAAAATGGTTTCAGCAATTGCTGAAAACATTAAAGCGTGGGTACCCTCCTAATCTCCTGCCAACCTAGCAGTTCGAAAGCACATCAAAGTAGATAAATAGGTACCGCTCCGGCGGGAAGGTAAACAGCGTTTCCGTGCACTGCTCTGGTTCGCCAGAAGTGGCTTAGTCATGCTGGCCACATGACCTGGAAGCTGTCTGCAGTCAAACGCCGGCTCCCTTGGCCTAAAGAGCGAGATGAGCGCCGCAACCCCAGAGTCGGTCACAACTGGACCTAATGGTCAGGGGTCCCTTTACCTTTACCCTCCTAATGCCAGTGGGCAGGGAGCTCCAAAGTGAATTATTATTTGCAAGTGCAAAATGAACATTATTTGGTGCTTGTAAAAGTGTCAGTTTTGGTCACTGAAATGGTCACCGGTCTGTTAACAGCAGCCAGTGTGTCTGTAACCTCCAGACCATGCAAGATAGTTCAACTTGCTGCCCACTAGATGATGCAATGCAGGCTGTGAAATGTGACTTCTTTGCTGTTTGCACTGCCACATGGTATGCATGGTTATGGGCATTTGGTTGGCTTCATGGTGAGACTTGTACCTCTTGCACTCTAGTCATCCAGCTTGCTTCAAATCCCATAGCTCTTCAGAATACCAAGGAGCCACTTGGGCTGCACAATGCCAGAGAAGAAGCTCAGAAGGAATATTTTCCATCAGTCTCTAAGGGTTGCCCATCCAAATGGATCCACTTCCGTTGCCAGGAGGGAATTGCAGCTATCAATCCAAAATACCTACTATCATATCCAATACTATAATAATAATATCCCAAAGCTGGCTCGTTGAGAGGAAAGATTGGGTTTTTTTAAAAAAAAAACCCCTGAGTTGAACATCCGTGTAAAGAAAAGGGATGTCTGTTGTAATTTACAAGTGCACTCACAAGTATTTTTCTGATACTGGTAAACTGTCAGGCACTCCTGATCTTCATGAAGGACATTGTAAAACACCAAATGCCACCATTTATTTTTGCTGTTAATTTTGGTGAGAGCATTCTCACTCCTCACAGTAGTACAAATGAATCATTTTGACTTAGCATTTATATAGAGATCTCATTGCTTTTGTTCAGTAGAGTCTGTTAAGTGGTTCTCTGCTACAGCCATAGTGACAAAGGTGGGAACTAAGCTAGTGTTGTAATGGTGATTATAGGGAATGAGATGACTGTCATTGTCGTCTGACACCTCCATGACCTGCTTTAATGGAAAAGGAACAAATTGCTAATCTTGAAGTTTCTGCAATATTTTGTGGCAGATCTTCCTATAAATGATTTGGTAATATAAATGTGTTATAAGCACTATTCTTCAAGATATTCGTTTGGTCAGGATTTTGTGTGCTTGTGCAGTGAATTGGTGAGTTTTCCTATACATGCTTGGAGTCTTATATAGCGGTTGTCTATAGAAATTAGTCCAGTCATGGTGCCATGACTGATATGTGACTACATCAGAATCATTGAAATATGTAGGTGCAATGCAATAAGTCTAGGTTTAAGTTCTTACTGCGTTTTCAGTTCTAGCTGCCATGGGCATTTTTTATGGCAAGCTGGAATATAAATCTAGCAAATAATTAAAAACCTATCCCATTCACTCTTTATTCCATGTTGAATCATGATGGTTTGTATTTTTCAGGGCATCTCAAATTAGGTAGTAAATTACAAAAGGAGATGTCCTTGGATATGACTTATTGACATATTTTAAGTCCTGTTCTGTTGCCGTGAGCTTTGAAGAAGGTTACTGAATGGCTTAGATGTTTCCAATTCCTGACTACAACTACCAGAAACTGCTACAGGATCCTTCTACAAAGCATACAAAGAATTAAGCCCATCAATTTAACATCTTGTTGGGCTTGCTGCTTATGTTTGCAAAAGCTCACCTTGTGAACTTATTGGGTGTTCTTGGGTTCCTGGATAATAAATAAATTTACCTTCACACAAACTGAACCATTTTAGGTTTGAGCTTGGAGTATTTATCTTTCGTTATGTAACATCTGAAATGAGTGGTTGGGTTGGGTTTCCAAATAAAATGTTCGTAGCCAAAATTGGAGTTTAAGGTTGTGAATAGCTATTATGAATCATAATATTGAAATAAAAATGTGCAACTTGTGGGAGATCTCAAATACAAGTTTTCTGTAAAGGAAGAAAAATCTTAAGTAAACTAATTCAATAGTGACACCTGAAACTTTAATCTTGACTACTTTCCAATAGCATGCAGCCTATGTGCTTCTGGTTTAACGTCAGCACAGGAGAGGCTTGTGCCATTTGTAGTTAAAAAATAGCCTATTCCAGCAAATAGAGTATAGCTATGCAGTTCTATCCCACTTGATTTTAGTAACCTTTTTATAGTGCTGTGTTTTTGCTTGTTCAACATGCTAACGTTTAGGATCCTACATAAGAGGCTGTTAGCAAATCCATTCTTTATAATCTCCTTTGCAGCACAGATGAATCGGGCAGAGAGCATTGTTTACTGGCACAGCAGTATTGTTTGCTACTAGTGCTAAACAAACCCAAGAGTTGGCATGAGAGGGTCAGGTCCCAGTACCAGAGCAATGAGATAGGTTGTCTCTTTGAACTATGAATGGGAACCTAGTGTTGCTTTCATGGAAATGTACACTTCTAAACAGACACATCCCTTCTCCTACGACGTGAGGACCTGCCGTCATCACTAGCAGGTCAGCCTTGTGTGGCAAAATGTTCTTTGTGTTCACTCTTGTAAATGGTGGACCGTATGTACTGTTGCCTCAAAAATAGTTTTATCGTGTTGGAAGATACTGGCCTACATTATTAACTTCGGCGGTTATAAAGCACCTGAAAGCATCTTAAAATGGAAAGCTTTAGCCTTGACCTTATGCATTCAAAATAGTTCACTGATCTCATTTACCTATCATTTTAGTAAGTACAGAATAGCAAAGCATCTGTTGGTAGTGATTAGGGTTTTTTGAAAGTCTCAAACGTGTGGTTATAGTGCTTTGGGAAATCTGTCCTCAGTTTTATTCTGTCTCTTTAGCTTCCATTAAAGCGAATGAATGATTCAAGTTGTGGAGAGAAATTTGTTGGTTGTCTAACACTATTTGACTTGTCAATGTGAGACGTAAAAAAGAAAATTCTTCTGACTGTCCATTTTTCTCACTTGCTTTGATTTCTGGAAGAAACATACCGTTCATTGTTAGTGTTTCACTAGCTAGCCTCCTACATTCCTGTTTTACAAAAGTTTGCCTTAGTTCCTGAAAATGTCAGCTGAATAGCTCTGATGAATTGTCTCTTTCACAGTTCTTGTGTTGCAGTAACTTGAAACACTTATAAAAGGTCTTTTTAAAAATGGTTCTCTCCCCCCCCCCCAGCAAATTATCCAGACATCTTATTTATTGTGAGAGGCAGATTTCACTTGGGGTTTTTCCTAAATATTTTAGACATGCCTATAGGCTTTTCTTTTCTTATATTTTCTTTCCTTGTGGGACGCGGGTGGCACTGTGGGTTAAACCACAGAGCCTAGGACTTGCTGATAAGAAGGTTGGCGGTTCGAATCCCCGCGACGGGGTGAGCTCCCATTGCTCGGTCCCTGCTCCTGCCAACCTAGCAGTTTGAAAGCACGTCAAAGTGCAAGTAGATAAATAGGTACTGCTCCAGCGGGAAGGTAAATGGCGTTTCTGTGCGCTGCTCTGGTTCGCCACGGGCCACATGACCTGGAAGCTGTATGCCGGCTCCCTCGGCCAATAAAGCAAGATGAGCGCCGCAACCCCAGAGTCGTCCACGACTGGACCTAATGGTCAGGGGTCCCTTTACCTTTACTATAGGCTCCCAGTTTGCTGTTGCTTTAGGGCTGGTCCACAGACGAATCTTGACCTGCCATTTCCCTATCCATCAACTAGGTGATGTCTAAAGATGAGCTGGGGATGTGGGTGGCGCTGTGGGTAAAAGCCACAGGGCTTGCCGATCGAAAGGTCGGCGGTTCGAATCCCCGCAGCGGGGTGTGCTCCCGTTGTTCTGTCCCAGCGCCTGCCAACCTAGCAGTTCGAAAGCACTCCCGGGTGCAAGTAGATAAATAGGTACCGCTTACTAGCGGGAAGGTAAACGGCGTTTCCGTGTGCGGCTCTGGCTCGCCAGAGCAGCGATGTCACGCTGGCCACGTGACCCGGAAGTGTCTCCGGACAGCGCTGGCCCCCGGCCTCTTGAGTGAGATGGGCGCACAACCCTAGAGTCTGTCAAGACTGGCCCGTACGGGCAGGGGTACCTTTACCTTTACCTTTAAAGATGAGCTGGGTGGTGAGGTTCAGTCCTGCTGGGTACTGCTTCATGAAGAGCATTCCCTCAACAGAATGTGCTGGTGAAACAGACCCCTGTAGCCAACAAGACTGAAAACTATCTGATGCTTTGTGGTTTTTGTAATGAACAAGTCAGGTTTATATTAATTTGATTTCTTGAAATACACACCCCTCCCCCCCCAAAAAAAAGGTTTTTCCAGATCTTTGGTAGTACGATGAGGCATGTAGCAAGCAAAGCAGATGTTTGGATGTTATGGATGGGATTAACACAGTGTTCCCTGTCAGTGGAAGCCCTGTGCAAGGACTTCTGCTTTCACAGTGGGGCTCTCCCCATTGCTGCGCCCTAGAAATTGGCTATGGCGGGGTGGGAGAATGGCACACAGAAAGGGAGAGAGGAGATCATTCCTTCTGGCATGCGAAATTCTTGCACACACAGGAAGTTGGTATAGTGTGATGTTTAATTCCACCCTTTGGTAGAAATTGCACCGCTTGTTTACTAAGGTGAAAGTATACCCAGAAGCAGAAAAGGCTTGAAGAGTGTTTGGTATCATATTCATTATGTTTTTGTGGACATGTACCTTCATTGAAATGGCCCTTCACAGGACATTCATAGGACAAGCCTTCATTCTCCTTTTTGTAGAATTTATTTTATTTATAAAAATATTTATATACTCCTATATTACAAAAGTATATCAGAGTAGTTTACCACAGTAAAAACAAAAATACATAAAACACACAAAGTTTAAAACAAATTAAAAAACAATAAAGTTCAGGAAAAAGACCAGGAAACCATTGCCTGCATAGGCCTGGCAGAATAGAAAAGTTTTCCGCTGGCATTTACAAGTTGCCACAGGAGGCGCCACTGAATGTTGCCAATGCTTGAAGTTAAAGCTGTACTTCATAGTAATAGCTGTTGCAATTTACGGCAAATCCTTTATTGCTAAACATAGTAGTTCTTCACTTTTTTCTCCTTTAACTAGTCATTTTTTTTTGTAGATGGCTTTTTCTACAAGCAGTTGGAGAAAGTTTAGTAAAACTATGCACGAGGCTTGAATGGAAAAATAGTTATAACCTAGAAGTAACGCATTAATATACTAATTTCAGCTCCTTATGCTATGAAACAAATATTACACCTAATATGGGCATTTACAAGTGTCTGATTTTTGGAAATGCTTGTAATTGCAGGTTGTAAGCTCAACAAATGGAGAGCTCAACACAGATGATCCTACTGCAGGACGTTCAAATGCACCCATCACAGCCCCTACAGAAGTGGAAGTAATGGACGAAACAAAGTACGTATTGTCTTATACAAAATAATCGCTATGTTACCATAATTTGGTACTGAATGTGTGAGTTAGTCTGTCTTTTCAAGTGTAATTTCCACTATTCTTAGTTCATAATTTTAACTAGCAAATCACAAACTGCTGCAATAGTTTTGCATTTAAACTTGTTAAAAATTGAGGTTTTGTTATTTCCACACAATGCAAAACCTCCAAGGCATAGGAGCCTTTTAGTTTTTCAGTACCTGGTTTTCAAGATAGGACAGATTGGAGGGAACAAATACTTGACACGGGAGGGATTTCTGTTGCTTAAAATGGGCAGTGTCATAGTACTACCCAGTAGGGGCATTCATAGTGCGCTTTAGATGCAGCTTTCCAAATTGCAGGGCCCCCCAAGGTACATGTGACCATGCGTGTTGAGCTGAAGTGCTTCAAATCCAATCGCTGCTTGTATTTGTCACTTTTTAACTTAGAAAGCTCTCAAAACTACTTACCCAAAAGAATGCAAATGAGTGCAGCTATTCTCTAGGGAAGGCTGCAGCTTGAGTCCCTTTTCTAGGGACTCAACAGAACATAGTTCTTCGCTCCTCCACCTGATTAGTACAGTAAATTGGAGGTAGGTGCATCTTTTCATAAACCCATGTAAGTACGCTTTTCTCTTAACTCCAAATAACTCAAGATCTTCATACGCCAGTGATGTGGTAGTGGTAAAAGGAATAGGGCTTTATTGACACCTAAAAGAACGCCTTTGCATGCGGGCATGGGACACTTTTAGGGTATAATTATGCCCTCATTGAAAATTTGCAAGCGAATTGCATAGCAAAGAAGGAAAGTTTGTGCATTTGTTGTGCTGTAAAATATCGTTTTGGTTCTTGATAACTTCGGTGTTATGTTATATATGCAAAATGCAGCACTTTTACAATGGATAGCATTCTGATTCTCTTTCCCCTTTGTATTTTCTTTGTATTAGCTGCCAGAAAGTGTTGAACATGTGGTGAGTTCTAAAGTGCAGGCAGGCAGAAAAAGGCTCCAGAGCATTTTAAAAACAAAAGAGCTCTCAAGAGCAAAGTACAATTGGAAAACCATTACAAATGAATTCTAATGGCTTTTGCTATTGGTCTTTTTTAACATGAGAAACTTACTACCTTATTGAGGAGCACTTTTGCCTGCTTCTGTTTCTGCTTGTTTTTCAAATCTTGGTGTACTTTTATCTAATACTTCTAAATTTTTGTTTTAATGTCAATGATTATATGCAGTAGTTTACTTATGCCATTATAGAGGGCAGACTATTTTTTTAAGGTGCTAACATCATAAACAATTAAAGCACTATTGCCACTAAGTTATAGCAGATATTTATGAAAGTTTAGTCATTGGTAATTATTTGCTAACTGATAGCTCAACCTGTGTACATTTGCATTTCTCAAATTCATACTTTTGCGTGTTCCTTGACTTCATTGCTGAATGCAATCTGTGCACAAAGCTAATTTTTATCATACTGATTTACTAACCCTGTAACTAAATGGCAGATTTTCTAAAGTGGTGGAAGAGCTTGTCAAACTTCTGTTGTTTGGTATTTGTACCAGACAACTGGGAGACATAGGGGCATTTTCTAGAGGCATATTAAGTTTAAAACAACATAATCCAGTGTATTTGTTTAAACATGGGCTATAATAATATACAAGCGAACATAAATATATTGGTAGAGGTCAACAGCCTAAAATACATTGATGAAAGCTGTGTAAACCTGCCTCAGTAAAGCTGCAGAACAAGCATGGTGTCAGGTACACAATAGTCATGGCAAATAAAATAAATCATAAAAGTGAAAATACTGCTTTGTTCATCTCATTCAGAGAAGAACAATCTTTGAGGGATGGACCAATAATATATCCTATCTAGAACTGGGAATGATAATCAGACTTTGTGCAAAATCTTGTCACAAAAATAGTGCGCCTCTGGCTGCAATTTGAAGTGAAAGTTTTGCGCCTGCCTAGGAAAAATTTCCATGCAGTGCAGAACAAGCAGGCAAAGATGCATTTCAAAAGAAGCATTGCCGTACTGACTGAAAAGATCCTATCACTGATGACATCCTTACATGCATCACGTATGGTATCGCACTCATCCCTTTTCAGTACAAATGAGCTCTCGGCTAGCTTTATCTTTGCACAAACCTGGGATGAATGTGGGAAGTTCTTTCATGCTGGCTCATGTTGATGCCAACAGTAGTGGGAAGTGCAAATGACTAGAGAACATTTCTTCTTGAACTGTGTATATGTCAAGTCTCTGTGAACTATTGTGTACATGTGGAAATTGTTCATGTGCAGCTCCACAGCTTTTGCGTCACCTTATTTGTTTATTTAATATACTTTTATTCAGCCCTATAGCCAGATTTTAGGGCAGGTTACTAATCAATTAAAGTACAGATGACCTAAGAGCTGTGCAGAACAGATAAAACAAACTTAATGGTAGCTCAATCATAAAAAATACATTATGGAGTCAGCAGGACTCCTTAAAACAACAAACTAATGCTAGCATATTTTTTTTAAATGCCTGTGCAAATAGGTGTCGTAATGCCAGCCGAGTCAGTGGCAGGTATAGTCCTTCCATAACCTTGGATATTGTTTATGATTATGTCCTAGAGTTAGATTGTAAGACATCAATGGAACCAGCTGGGGGGGGGGGAAATCAACTTCTCACATTGTTCCAAAACCCCACCAACACTGAGGAGTTAGAAAAAAAACCTCCCAAACTACAAAGGGTAGTTCCTTGAGTGACAGGTTACTTACTGCCTAAGTGCAATAGGGAGAAATGCCCATTTCGGAGGGGAAAAGAGACATTTCTACATAAATAAAAACCCATTGGATAATTTCTCAAAAGATGAATATTTATGATCTGCCTACCGACCATATCCATTTCATTTTAATCTTGATTAACATAAGTTGCTCTAGTCCAGGGGTCAGCAACCTTTTTCAGCAGGGGGCAGGTCTACCGTCCCTTAGACCATGTGGTGGGCTGGACTATATTTTTTTGGGGGGGGAGGGGAGAGAACGAATTCCTATGCCCCACAAATAACCCAGAGATGCACTTTAAATAATATAATAAAAGCACACATTCTACTCATATAAAAACACCAGGCAGTGGATCTGCATGGGATTGCACCGTTAATGTATTAAACAAGTGCTGGTTATACAAAAGACTATATATGAGAATATTTCGAAAACATTCCATCTCTAGGCCAAACAAAGAAAACCTATGCAATACATATATCGTGTGGCAAAGGGATGCAAAGTCTAGTGGTAAGAATGAAAAGTGTAAAAGTACTAACTGTAAAATAACATGGTTTAGTAGACAGATTTACACCATTGTTTTGATGCAGAATCAGTGTCAAGCTTAATCTTCATACTTTCTTCTTCTTCTTCTTCTTGCTGATTCAAATCATGAGTTAAATTGCCTTGATTTCATTCAGACACCCTGATTCAAAGCCTCACAGCCTAAGCCACCCGTTTCCTTTTCACTAATGAAAGTAGCTTCCTCCTCCCAGGCAATTTCACTGTATCTTATAGAAGCATTGATCCAGTTTAGAGATTAACTGAAGGCCAGAAAGGAGCATAGGAGTCAGGCCATTGGTCCATCTAACTCAATATTGTCTACATTGACTGCCAGTGACTCCTCAGAGTTTCAGGCAGGAATCTCTCCCAGCCCTACCTAGTGTTTGCAGAGCATTGAACCCAGGATGTTTTGCATGCAAAACAGCTACTCTGAGCTATAATCCTTCATCTTTATTCTCCCTGAGACTGAGCAGTGAGGTGGAGTTCATTTGAGATGCTGGAGAAATGCACATGTTCTGCGTTCCTTCCCCACGTTGTATCCCCTTTCCTTGAAGTGGTGAAGCATGTACAGTACTAGGAAGCATGCCTTCCTGACAGCTACTATCCTTTGCTTCATTTCTCAGTACTGAGAAGAGTGGGGAAGGGGAGGGAGTTGGGTAGGTGGGTTAGCTGCTTTTTCTATTAGGATGGAGATGTTGGCCGATCTTTACATCTATTTGTTAGCTCAATCCAACCTTTTCTTGGCGGTTTGATTGGTAACTGATTTGAGTCATCTGCTCCTGTCTGTCTGTTACCGTACCTTTCCACCACCCATTAGTAATTACACGAGATAAAGTGGGAGAAAACGTGGGAAATAGGAGATTCATAGGTGTGTGGCTCTGCATGTGAGGAGGAGGAAATGACAAAGGACCAAATGTTCTCACTTCATCCTCTCAGGGTTTCCCCCCCCTGGGTAGCCCTTCTTAAAATTCTGCTTCCTAAATCTGTCTCTTTGTTTTCTTTCTTGGAATACCTTCTATTATTCTGTATGCGTGTGTGTCCTTCATTTGTTGTAAATGGACAAATAAGCTTACTAACAACCCACTGTTATCCCTGTTATCTTAGTCTCTGTAGTATTTCAATATTCACAAATATAAATATAAATAATTGTTGACTGGCTTTCTTAGCTCTAAATCACATTTGGCTACCATAGTTTACCATCGGTATCTAAACTTCTGTTCACCTGGAAAGGAAGTCACCTTGAAACGCAACATATATTTCAGGTGGAATTCTAAATACTTTGGGAGTTTTTCGTGAAATTCCCTTTGGTTTTTTTAAAAAACCAGTTGTAGGCCTGGCAACAGGATTCAGCCTGGTTGGGCATTTCTTGGAGTTCATGTCAGGAGGTTGGTCTCTTGGCAACTACTGACAACAAGCCTGGTAAAAGAGCATCAGTAGCTGCCACCAAGAGTGCATCTGGGGTCTGCGTCCCCCTTCAGCCTGAGCTATGCTGTCTGTTTTTCTTGCTTTCTACAAATATTGCCTCCTTGTTGGGAATTGGCCTGGACCAGCCCTTAGAGGCATAGGAATGGGAGTGGAATGTTTGCTGCCTGCTATTTAATGGTGTGGGAAATATCAAATTGAATATCAGAGACAGAAGGGGCATGTGAAACCAATAAAATGTTGCAATGTGCAGTGCTCCTGTTCATGTTTACAGTCAGCCATGCTCTCTTCCAGAATATTTCATTCTCCCTGCCCCATGTTTTTAGGACCACCTTCTTTACAACAGGCAGTGTGTTCTGCACCCACTGAGCAGGCACAGTCCTCACTGAGCTGTTTTTCTACTCCTGCAAACTTAAGGGTTTCCAGTACTTTGAGGCTGTCTCATCTAGATAAGCCTGGCTTGTGGCTTTATTTTGCAGCTCTTTGATGCATATTTGTATCTCCACACCCCCATCATTTGGCATCATGTTTTCCAGGCATATAGAAATTCAGTAGTTGTTGTTGTTTAAAAGGTTAGCATGCTTTCCAAGAAACAGATGAGTTACCCCAGCAGAACTTGATGACTGTAAGCCTAAGAGAGGAGGAAAAGCTCCTGAAAACAATTAGACAACCAAAGCCAAAGTTGATGTAAGCAACAAGAAATTAAAAGCCTATAAAATAGACCTGGAAAATCCTGAAGTGCAGGCACATCTTAAAAGTAAATGATGGGAAAGGTCACATATAGAGATGTTAAGGGAAAAGGAGATTTCCTTTCCCATGCCTTGGCTCTCAGCCTGGGCAAGATTTGACACTTTACTTTGTAGGTGGGGAGCAGACAAGTTGTTAAATCAACTATATTATAGACCCATGACATTGCACAGGGCAGTTTAGTTTTGCATGCATTTGCCTGCAGTGAGAACAAAGGTCCTGAAAATAGTTAACTACTGTTTGCACAAAGCAATTAAGTCCTAAATCATTTTATAGCCTTTAGAACTAGGGCAGTATAAGTTCATGTAGACTATAAATGCCTTCTTCTGTGTTACAGGTCATGAGTATGTATCTACTTTTCTCACAGACTTGGAATTTCTGCCTCAAAGGGGATAGATAGTAGAACGTCTCAGAATAGTAACTGTGTGTTATACATGGGAAAGCGAGGCCCTCTAGTGACCATTTATAGTTAAGAGCATATCATTGGCTGCAACTGGTATTCTACAGTTGTGTGAATATCTTTTTAATGCAAACAAAGCAGTTACAACGTTTTATGAAATATGTATTTGTCCAAATAAACAGGGTGATGTTGAGGATAGTGTTATGCATGTATTAGCATCAATTTCTTCAAGTCTTATCGTAATGTGTTTTGATAATTGTTTACATCAGCCTTCCCAAACCTGGTGTGCCCTCCTTGTTCCTCATATTTTTTTATTTCACTAGATTATTTTTAGGTCACCTAATAACAAAGGTGGTCTAGCAAATAAAATGAAATAAAAATGCACCCAAAGTCACAAATAAAACAGTAGAACAAAACACAAAAAAGCAGGAATAAAATACACAGTACTAAGCCACTTAAAGTAGAGATTAGTCAAATCCACTGAGGTTAAACAATGTTTGAATTTACAATACTTAGAATTATGCTTCTCAGAATCACCCAGATTTTATTAAGCCCCTTTGATATGGTTGGGGTTCAGCCTATTTTCAGTTGGCTATAATCAGAAATTGGGCTACTATTAATATATCCAAAGTTAACCACTTTTGGATTTGCATAATATCTTCATTCAAGCAAGCCTTCCAAAATTGACTGTCATTTTAGCATGACAAGACTGAGGCACTGTTAATGGGTGGTTCCCTAGATTGGATGGATGGGATTACACTTCCTCTGAAGGAGCTGGTACACTGTTTGGGAGTACTCCTGGATCGATTGCTGTCGTGTGAAGCTCAAGTGGTCTTGGTGGCGCAGAGTGCCTTTCATCAGCTTTGCCTAGTGCCCCAGCTACGCCCCTATCTGGACACAGGGATAGCTTAACTTCTGTTAACCTCTAGGTTAGATTACTGCAACGCATTATACATGGAGCTGCCTCTGAAGACAGTTCAGAAACTTTAGTTGGTGCAGAATTCAGCAGCCAGGTTGCTGATCCTACTGCACTGCCAATTAGTTTCCAGGCCCAATTCAAAGTGCTGGTTTTGACCTAGAAAGCCTTAAACCGCTGAGGAACTCAATACCTCCAGGACCACCTCTCCTCATATGAACCATCCTGGATCCTGCAACCATCATATAAGGCCCTTCTTTGTGTGCCTTCTCCGCAAGAGCTCTGGAGGGCAGCAACAGGAGAATGGGTATTTTCTGTGTTGACTCCCCTTTTAGGGGATACTCTCCCCAGAGACGCTCTCCTGGCACCCTTGTTACATATCTTTAGGTGCCAGGCAAAAACATTCCTCTTCCAGGCCTTTGGCCAACTAAACAATCTATGGCCTTTTAAACTGTGAAGGGTGGTGTTTTTCTTTGTTACGATGGTATGTATTTTTTGTGTTTTTATATTGTAAGCCACCCTGTGATCCTCGAATGAAGGGTAGTATGCAGATCATATAATGTATGCAAACCATACATTGTCTTACCCTTTGAACCTTCTTGTTCATCATTGAGTACACTGGCTGGTGGCAGCTTTTCTTGAGTGTGAATTTGCCTCCCACTTTTCCTCTGCTGGCCTTACTGGGGTTAGCATGAACCCTGATTAATGTTGGTGCCAAGTTTAAGTGAACAGAGGGAATTCACACTCAGTACGGGAGGGTGTGATCAGTTGTACGACCTGTGTCTCTTAAGACAATACTGTGTCTTCAGTGGCCTTTTCTCTAATACTTAGAAATGGGTCTCATGTTCTGTAGCATAGTCTGTATAGGCTGTTGAAAGGGGAAAAGGGGATTTTTGCTTGTCATCCTGGGACTTATTTTGCAGCATACTACAGGGTGCAGTTACAATTCTGTATTGATGTTAAAGAATACTGAACGGACATGGGGCAGAGATCCCCAACTTTGCAATGTTTTAGAAGTTAGCAGTGTCATTTTTACTCAGACATTCAGGATTTTGCTGTAATGTTCATCTTTTGACATTTCACACTTTAATGCCTAAGCCGCTTGGTTGCTTGCACAAAGGCAGGAACACATTCTTGCTCTATTCCTTTGCTAGAGCGGGGACATAGCCTGCTCCATGTTCTGTATAAAGACCTGAGAGAGTTGGATGGAACGTTATGACACCAGTGAATAAACTGGTACAAACATCCACCACCTCTCTTTCCTGTTTGGCTACCCATAATGCTATAGTGTAACTGTCAACATTTATCACTTACTGATGGCATGAACACTATCAAATGGTAAAAGAGGCTATATAAGTAATTATTCACTATATAAACAAAACCTTAAAAAGTGAAAGCCATTCCTACAAGCCATTCTCTTGATTCAGACACATGTTGCTTATGTCAAAAGCAAAAGATTCAACGGCATCACATGCTTAAAAAATAACAACAGATAAACCAGCCCCCAAAGCCACACAAAATATGCCCACTGATGACTACAGATTTATGTTCAAACATTGCCATGCCTAGTTCATATAGTGTTTGTTAGTAGCTAATGAAACCAACGTACAGGGATCTGTTGTCTTGTGTTGTGCTTATTTTCCCCCTCGTAGATGTTGATTCCACATAACTATACCACCTTCATTGCACCATCTGCATAGATATCAGATGATGAAATGTTTTAGAAGTCTGCTTTATTACACTTATTTCTCTATAAGTCGATGTGATTTGTCTTTAACCTGCTTTGAACTGGCTTTATTTACTTAACTGTATTTAGATAAGCATGATATTTATGTCAAGAGATGCCTTGTTCTGCATGTAAGACTGTTTTCATTTCACAATTGCAGGTGCTGCTGTTTTTTCAAGCGAAGGAAAAGGAAAACCATTCAGCGTCACAAATGACTTTGGAAGAAGGCAGACCATGGGGAATTACTTACTTGCTCATCTGCTATATCGTGATTAGTGACCACACGTTTTTCTGGCACCCCTATTTCAATGAGAAGGTCCTCATACTTGCTTTGATTTGGTGGTTCAACATATTTAGTTTGGATCATCTCTTCTGGAAGCTTTAAATCTGTGTCCACATGAGTATATATTTGACCACTAAGATACTGGACCAATGGGGAAAAAATGCTGCTCTTTCCTCCAGCAAAACTAAACTGTCATAGAAAACAATAGCAGTGATTAGCTGAAGACCAGATGTTTCATAAACCTGGCATGTGCTGAGGTTTTTCTGATGCCATACCGAAAGCAGGTGATTTTTCAGAGAACAATGGACATGAAAGCATAACTACCCAAACATTTGAAATACGTCTTGCTTTAAGATTTCTTTTGTCAGTAACACTTGCATTGATTTCCCCCTCCCCCATTGCTTTGAAGGTACTGCATTTGCAAAATTGTTACCATTAAATCCTATCAGAAAACATGGTACAGTCACTGCCCAGTGGTACTGAGACAGAAGCAAGAGAAGGAGTCCTCTGATGCCAAAAGTCTGTGCTGTGGTTTCTAGGGGAGCAGGTGAATCACTGTTGGTAAAATCTGGATTTAAAACTCAGCTTTTGTTGTGCCTCTAATTGAAATGCAGTGTAGTAGAAGTGGCAATAGTGCTTGTACAGAAATAATGTTTGTATAATGCAAGTTGTGCTTCCAGTTATGTCCGACACAAAGGCTGAAACTTCAACAGAAAGATGCTTAGGAGTTATGAAAAAACACACTACAAGGAAATAACTGTGAACATGAATCGGGGGATACATTCAAAAAGAATTAATCAAAAGCTAGTGCTGAATAACAAGTTTCAAGGTGAAGGTCTGGATGTGCCATGTAACAAAATTTAGGTCTGTTTGTAAATTATTTTGCTATTTGATTTAAGAAAAGAAATGGATTGGATGTAATACTGCCTTTAATGAATGCTAGCCCTTAGTTCCTGATCACAGCCGGGGGTTCCTGGAACTTTCTTACGCTTTGGTGAAATATTGCGACACTAAGAAGCAGTTAATAGCCTTGGTCAGGTACTTTCCTCATAGCTCCTTGAAGTGCCTGTATTATGAACAAGTGAACTGTTCAGTAGAAAAGGCAGCCCCCCCATTGTTTCATTTAAAGCCATAATGACAGAGGTGTGCTTTTGTCATGTTTAGCTGCCAGCATCATGTGGAGAATGGAGCAAAGGAAGTAAAATGGCTAGACAGATTTGTTGACCAAAACTCAATGGTTTGTTTCCTTTTAAAAAGAGCCTCCTAGAGCTAACTTTTAATAACTTTGTCTATCAGTGCATGCCTTTGGGCATACTTATTTATTTTTAATATCTTGTGGTAACATTGAAAATGTGTATTAAAATCGATAAATGCACACCTTTGGATTCATTATTGCATTTACAGGGATTGTTTTGTAATTTATTTTTTCCCTTAACAGCCAAAAGTGCAGTGCATTGTCTTGAAATTAGGTGCACATAAGAACACATTGTGCAGATCTGGTCATTGTTTGTCACTGTTGCTGTTAATGACTTTAGTAAATCCTTGATATACAAGCTTGAACCTGGCCTATTAAAACATAGACTATATTACTTGGTCGAAAGTTTTCACTCAACCTGTTTGTATTATTGATAATGTCTTAAACTCCCAATGAGAGTTTTTAATTTTTATTTGAGCTGAGAAGGTAGCCATCCTAATGTGAACACTTTCTTTGCAGTATTTGACCAAATTTTTCTTCATAATATTTGTAAATACATGCAGTATCCTATCATACACCTGTTCGATTTCATCTTCAAGGGTTTCTTTGGCCTGTACAGTGTTTATATGATCTGAACTCCTTACACATAATCCAATTATGGACTTGAAGATTAAAAAATATATAAAACCTGTTTGTTTACTGCAAAGACCAGAATCTAGTCATGGCTATTTAGCAATATTTTTAAGTACTCCACTTTAATGCTAAGGAAGACCTTGTCCTCGCAACACACAACTGGTCAGTAGTAAGTTATGCAGTTATGTTCAGGTTAAGCCAACAATGTTTGCATTTATATGCTTTTTCCCTGTCTAAACTAATGAAATCAACATTGCCTGAATGTCTGAATAATAAAACACATCCCTGTTTAAAAATATGTAACAGATGAAGAAGAAAAAATAAAGGTAGTTTTTTTACTTGTCTCTTCCATCTTTTCCACAGCATTGAAACTGTGAAGATAAGGGACTACAAGGGACAACTGGCCTATATCCACTACCACTAAACATTTTTAATTTAAAGTCTGTACACAACTATGAAAAGAATCAATAGGCATATTTCATGACTCCATTGCAGATACAGGCTTGCAGTGGCATGTGCTACTCCTTCAAATACCAAGCTGAAAGTAATTACTGACGGTACTCTAGTTTTTAACAACTTCAGATATGGAGTAATGTATCTAACCTAGGCTTGCAAAATTTATTTCTTACCAAAGTCAAGGTATGCCATTGTCCATGCATTATGGCCTTTTTCTATCTCTAATTCTGTTTAGCTTAGTGCAGGCTTCCTCAACCTTGGCCCTCCAGATGTTTTGAGACTACAATTCTCATCATCCCTGACCACTGGTCCTGCTAGCTAGGGATCATGGGAGTTATAGGCCAAAAACATCTGGAGGGCCGAGGTTGAGGAAGCCTGGCTTAGTGGCACATTTGTTTAGACTTGGTCTAACCTGTACAGTGGTACCTCAGGTTAAGTACTTAATTTGTTCCAGAGGTCCATACTTAACCTGAAACTGTTCTTAACCTGAAGCACCGCTTTAGCTAATTGCGCCTCCTGCTGCCGCGCCGCCGGAGCCCGATTTCTGTTCTCATCCTGAAGCAAAGTTCTTAACCTGAAGCACTATTTCTGGGTTAGCGGAGTTTGTAACCTGAAGCGTATGTAACCTGAGGTACCACTGTATTAGTTTGACAAAGTGCATAAAACTCATAGCTAATATATAGTGATGCAAAAAATAATTGATAAAGGCACTCTTTTTGTTTAATAGTGATTAATTGATTTAACTGGGAAATAGCAGTGACTGAACTAAGGATAGCTAGTATATATCTGGATGATATCCAGCATTAGGCATAGAGTAGACTCACTGAATGGGCCTACTCTGAGTATGCCCAATGTTGGATATCTCCAGTTTGCCTGGTTTGCACATAATGCTAAACCATGTTTTATTAAACTATAGCTTAGTGTTATGCATGAACCCTGCCCATCAGTTCAACTCTGATTTGTTTACTGCAAACAAACCACTATCTGAAACCTTGGTATGTTGTCTTAGAACATTGTTTTGTTTTGCTGGCTTGGCATTACATATCACTGTGGTTTATTTGACCCCCCGCCGCAGAAGCTCACCAAACTACAAAGGCATGAGGCAAAAGCAGCTGAAAGCGAACCACACTTCATAGAAACAAGCCATGGCTTGATTATCTGTAGAGCAACTCACGGTTAACTTGTGATTTGTTAAACATAATCATGGTTTTAGATTGCATGTGGCACTTTTTTCTGTTGGATGGGGTGATTCACCTGGTGAAGAGTGGGTAGTAGTAGTAGTAGTAGTAACAACAAATTTTTATTAGGGGTCTAAAGGTCTTTCAAGAAAATAGACTAGAGTCATGCAGGTCTTCTGTAATTTATTCTATATTATTAAAATAAGATTACTTTGCACTAATACAAAAATTAAGACTGAATAGGGAAAGCCATGTTCTTGAGGATTTTAAAAAAGCATTTAAAAGAACTTCAAAGATAGTTTTGAAGACACAAGTAGGGCTTGGTTTGTGACTCTAGGTTAAAACATAACAACATATTGCATCACTATTGTGCATTGTTTTAATAACAATTGTAAAAAAAACTCCAGCAAAGCTTGAACTAAGTATCAATTAACAATATCATTAAAGACACCCATAAGACTGAAGAATAAGAATAGGTTTACCTAGTGCCAAAATGATAGTGAAGCTTCCCCCCAATGTATCTTCATGAGAGTGTAATAGAGACAAGGACATTCTCTCTTGTGCATAGATGGTGGCATTTACTCTAGGATAATAAGTTTGCTCTTGGTATACAGGATTCAAATCATAATAACAGCCAAAGGAAAAGAGTACAAAGGGTTAGTACACAAAGCCCTAGACCTACAATAAGAAAGAAATAAGGGTCAAGACTTATAGGAAAAATAGAGATGCAATTGAGGAACATAATACATCAAACAGTTAAGAGAACTTGAAAAGGACAGGCTTAAAACAGGTACAAGATAATAGGATATTAATTAAAAAAAGTGCATAATACATCTTCCCCCTGCCCCTCCCTGGTTTGTTATGACCTGCCTGGTATGAAGACTGCAGGCCAAGTTGCCATGGCAGCCAATTACTGGCGTTGATGCAGAGAGAATACCCACCAATCTGAAGAACCACAGACCTGAAAAATAATTTAGTTGATAGGCTTGGCCTTTTTTTTAACGCTCTCAAAACTGGCACACGTTCCTGTGCTAGATCCTAAATCCAGTTGTGCCACAGAGCCAACTGTGTTTAATGCTAACCCTGAGTCACCAGCTGGGGCATGATTCTTTCCTGCAGGAATCTTCCTATATAGAGAGAGACTTGATTGTCAACCACATTAAGGTGTCATCCATACTTTTCTAGGCACAGATCTTCACTCTCCCCCACCCTGCTTTTCCCAGGAAAACCCAGTCTCTACTGATCTTTAGCGGAGCAAACGGCAATTCCCAAGTTTTTCCGTGGAATTGTTTTCTGTGGTAGAGAGCAGATTTTCACAGGAAAAGAGCCAGGGGAAAAAAAAGAAAAAGAAAAAGAAAAGGCTCAAACATGGTCCTGGAAACCTGTGTCTAGAAATGCAGAACAAAAGTAAGTGTTGATGAGCCCTAAGGTGGCATAGCTCAGTCGGTAGAGCATGAGGCTCTCAATCTCAGAGTCACAGGTTTGAGCCTCATGGGGAGCAAAATATGCCTGCATTTCAAGATTCCTGCCTTGCAGGGGTTGGACCTCCATCTTCTTACACTTGGGGTATCTTCCAACTTGTA